TGTTGCCATGTTAATTTTAAAATTTGCATAATACTATCAAAATTAAAAAAAGAAAAGAGACAAATTTCTGTATCAACAATTTATATTATTAATGTCTTCATTTACATTAAATTCATGCTACTGAATTACATGCTTATACAAAAATTTGCTAATTTCAATAAAATTCTACACAATCAATTTTTTATCGAAAAAAGGAGGACCACAGTTGTTCTATATAGATAAAAGATAGTTTTTGGAACAACATAAAAGGAAAAAATTACAATTTTTTGACCAGGTACAAAATAAGAATTACTTGATAGAAAATCCTTGGATGTAATTGATAACATTTTCAATTATACTTCAAGGTATAAAGTATGAAGGGTATATAGTTTTTGACCCGTCAGTCATCTTGACTTTCATGAAGGATATTAAGAAGAGACTTAATTTTGACAGTCAACATTTCCCTTTTACACTGACAGTAGCAATTGCAGGCGAGACAAAGTGTCCCATGGAACCCTTTACAGGTTTTTAATTAATCACTGATATTTTTATGCCCCCGCCGTTCTAGAGTTATGCCCCTTTATAAATGGAAAAATTGCAAAATTTTTAGTTTCCGTTCTCTAACTTAAGTTTGCCTCAACAAAATGTTATGAAACTTATACACAATGCTTATTACCACAAGATCAAGTTTGAATTTTGGTGGCGTCACTTTAACCGTTCTAGAGTTATGCCCTTTATTAATGGAAAAATTGCAAAATTTTTATTTTCTTCTAAATATCAAGTAATTTTTAAAATTGGAGTTATCTTCCTTTGTCCATGATTATAGTTGAATCAACTACAATTAATGCTTTATGCAATGCAATGTTTAATTTTGACTTCCACTGATAAAACACAGATCAAGTTGAATTTGGGTAGTGTCACTTTAACCATTATTGAGTTATGCCCCTTTATAAATCGAAAGATTCCATTCTGTAACTTAAGTTTGCCCCAACCAAACATTATAAAACCTATACACAATATTCATTACCACAAAACTAAGATCAAGTACAATTTTTTTGTTTCCGTTTTCTAACTTTAGTTTGCCTCAACCAAATGTTATGAAACTTATACACAATGCTTATTACTACATAATACAGATTAAGTACGAAATTTGGTGGCGACACTTTTACCATTCTTGAGTTATGTCCCTTTATAAACATAAAAATTCCTGAATTTTTCGTTTCCGTTCTCTAACTTTAGTTTGTCTCAACCAAATGTTATAAAACTTATACACAACCGTTCTAGAGTTATGCGTGTTTACAAATAGAAAAATTGCTGAATTTTTAGTTTCTGTTCTTTACTTAAGTTAGCCTCAACCAAATGTTATGAGAGACTTACACACAATGCTTATTGCCACAAAATTTTTGGGTAGCGTCACTTTGACCGTTCTTCAGTTATGTCCCTTTATAACTATATGATATGCAAGCGGGGTCATCATCTGTATCCACATGTGGACACTATCCACACTTATTTTAGTTTAAATTTTTTTTTTTTTGGTTTTGTATTTGCACAAATGAATTTGTTAGTATTTTCTAATAGAAAACCAATATATATGATTATTCTATTTCTAATAAATTATGTGCACATACACATTTGTAAAAGGGAACTCAGTGGCTGATTGGTCTTAGTTCATCTACTGTATCACTAGTCTGTAAACACTAAGGTTTTGTGAGTTCAAACCGGCATATGGTTATGTGTTAAGAATACAATCTTATTGACTAGGAATGTAAGTTTTCCTGCTGAAGGTCATGGGTTCTCTCCAGGCACTCTGCTGTTTAACACCAAAAAATCAATCAATCAACATTTGTAAAAATACCGGTAATTGATCAATCACTAAAAAGTATGGTCAAGTATTCCAACTCTTGTTAAAAAATATCTTCAGTTTTATTTTTAACCACAATTAATTTTTTTTGCAATGCAGTATAGATACTTAATTTTACTTTGTGCTGCCTGCATTGAAAGTTAAAAAAAAAATTGATGAAAATCTATTGTTTTATTTGCAGAAAAATAAAATTAGCACCATCCACACTAAAATGATTTTGTAATTTCACCAAAACAGAAAACTGTTCATACTAAATGGAACACTTGGAAAAGAAAGAGTCCAATTACATCAATGAATGTTTGTACAATCTCAAAATATCAAAATACATTCAGTTAATTTGTTTCAGCTTCTTCTATGACTAAAGTAAAGTTTGAAATGTCAATAACATTAATTTTATTCAAAATTTTATTCGAAAAAATTAAAATATGCTGGTTTATACAATATTTTAACCACTGCAGTTTGGTATTTTTTGTGACTATAAAAGGTAATTTGAAAATTAGTCTCTATTCATTTTCCTCTGAACCTAAAAGTTCATCCCATTTTTTCTGACCTGCTGAAACTGTATTCCTTCTAATTAATAGTGAATATATGTCTTTATATTTCCCTTTAAACTTGAAAAAAAATCTTGAAAATTAAGGAATAAATGAAATGCCTTGTTTATGATTATCAATTACATAGCTCATTCCTGATTGTGTTACAGCAGAAATTATGTTGTTATATGTCATAACATTTCTGTCAATATTGAATTTTGCTTGACTGTTTCAAACTAAGAATTTTTCCACCATCTGATACAATGTTATTAATGAGAAATATTCCTTTATTGAACAAGTTGTTATCAAATACAGACTTATTCTTGATTTTCATACATTTGTTTATCCACAGTGGGCTCGACAAAAAATGTTTCCAGGTTGATTTACCTCTTAATCAACAATATTGTTCCATGCATGAAAAACATCAAGCCAAAATTTATTTTCATATTATCTTTAATATATTACAGATAACCACTACCAAATTTAAAGAATATATTATTATAAAATTTTTTGATATATTGAAATTGTGTTTTAGCTCACTCAGCCCTTTGGGCCATATGACTATTGCTATTACATTTTTACTGGGCATCCTTTGTTGTAATCTTTTCCAATAATCTCCTCTGAAACTACTGGACCAATTTCAACCTAACTTTAACTGACTGATCCTTAGATTATCTGATAAGAAGTTTGGGTATTTTGTTCCTGCCAATCAACCAACATGATCACCATGGCTAAAATAGAACATATGAGATAAATGCATTAATTGTTTAATATCTTTTAAACCATAATAGATATAGAAGATCTGATGGGGCACAAATGCTGACAATGTCAAAATCTACCCTACCTACCCCACTTCATATTTCCACCAAAATTATCAGTTGACTCCTTGTAAAAGTTATTGCTCTTAAATCAAGACAAGATTTCAATAAAATTAATTTTTTTCTTCATCCTTAAAAGACTCTTTACAGGAGTGATTGCCCTTAAATTATACTCTAGTCCACAATGTTAGAGAGTGTCCTTTGTTGAAGATGCACATAGACCTAGGTGTGTGATACAGGCTCTTTTGAGCCTCTAGTTTACTAATTTCAAATGTTTGTGTTTCACGAAAACAATAATAGAAAGATATTAATTGTAAACAGCAATACAAGATCTACAAAAATGCCAATATGATTGATACCATTGGATAACTATGGTACTTATAGGTGTAATTGCCCTTAAATGATGATTTTTATGCCCCACCACTAGGCAAAGGGGCATTAAGTGTTACCCTTGTCCATCCGGTCTGTCCCCAAAATTGGTTTCCGTTCTCTAACTTTAGTTTGCTCCAACCAAATGTTATGAAACTTATACAAAATGCTTCATACCACAAAACACAGATCAAGTTTGAAATTGGGTGGCGTCACTTTTGCTGTTCTTGAGTTATGCCCCTTTATAAATGGAAAAATTGCTAAATCTGTCGTTTATGTTCTCTAACTTTAGTTTGCCTCAACCAAATTTTATGAAACTTATACACAATACTTATTACCACAAAAGACAGATCAAGTTCGAAATTGGATGGCGTTACTTTTACCGTCCATGAGTTATGCCCTTTTATAAACATAAAAATTGCTGAATTTTTCATTTCTGTTCTCTAACTTAAGTTTGTCTGAACCAAATGTTATTAAACTTATACACAATGGTGATTACCTCAAAACTCGGATCAAATTCGAATTCAGATGGCGTCACTTTTATGGTTGTAGAGTTATGTCCCTATATAACTTTATATTCAAGCAAAGGCATTCATTATCTTTGTCCCATTCTCCATTTATTTTTACTAATTTTCAAGTACTTGTCTATTATCTTTATAAATAATAATCGATAGGTAGAACTTGATAAAAGCCATAAGCAAACGTAATCAGTAATACAAGATCTTAAATACTGCCAAATTGATGACTCTTTTGAGAAATTTTCAGCACACTTGAAGTTAGCTTTTGTCATCTGTCGTCGTAAACATTTTAAAAAATCTTCTCATCTGAAACTATTGGGGGCAAAATAACTAAAGGAGTAGGTCCGGTAAGGGCCGATTTTGGCCTCAAAATTCAGGTTCATCTGATGAAAGATTTTGGACACTTTTTAAACACTTAAGTGTCTACTTCAGTTGGTTCAATTAGTTTATGTGAAAGATTTGAACTGATTTAGTCATTAAAGATGCTCAAATTCAAGCTTCAATATGAAAAATCTATTAAATATTCCATAATATGTCACTTTTCAGATGGTTTTTGTCAAAATAAAAGTGGCCGCATCCGTGTTCATTCTCAACCTTTATATATGTAATGTTTTTTCATCAAATACAACTTACATTTAAATATTAACACAAATGCGGCCACTTCCATTTCAGATGCTAGTACCCGATACATGTGCATTGTATTGTCAAAAACAGCCCATATATATGTAACAAAAGTATTCTTCTTTCCAATAAATAGCTAAAAATTTACATTTTAACAATTTTGTAAAACTGCTATATTTTGGGGCTAAAAAGGGGTCTTACTGGGCCTACTCCTTTTACCTAAGTACTACTTAGGGTAATTGGGTTTGAAAAAAGATTGCATTAATTTTCAAGTTTTGTTAAAATATTTCCATTGATATTACAGCCGAAAGGAAAGGAAGAAGAAAAGAAAGTTCCAGAAGGAGAGAAAGTGGGGAGTGGTAGAGCTATTCCATTGAAGCAAGTATGTTGCATTTCTAATTTAAAAGATTTAAAATATGATTATATGTATTTTAACAAAATACTACAGCTTTTGAATTCATTTTTTAAGTAAATGTTTTATTAAGTAAAAAAAATCATTGAAAAGGAGGTTCTAAAGCTATTTTCAAATTGTGTAGTTTCTACTTGTGAGACTATGTTGCAAATTGATACTAAAAAAGTACGACATTGAAGCTAAAGTAATGAAGTAGATATGATAATAAAACTACAGAAAAAAAACAGAAAAACTAGATATATATCATACAGACCTACAGTTGCCTGATATTGAACTTAATGTATGGAGGGGGGGAGAGGGGAGTCCATATTTTTCAGCAATAAGATTATCTACAGTAAATTCTGAAATTAATGCAAAATCCAATTAATGTGATTGCAAAAATTTTATGAAGGGAAATCATTACGGAAATTATGTATTTGAGTTTTCATTATTTCGAACATGATGTTATTGCAATTTTCGCATTAATAAAAACATTGCAATAATTTATGAATTTACAGTATTGGAAACTTTAAAAATAGAAAATATATTGTATTATGGTTAGAAATACAGTCATATGTGTATAGCTTAAGAAACAAAACCATTGTTATAGTTATGAAAGGATTGCTTGTAAGAAAAGAAGATGTCTCTGATGTTTTTATACGGCCGCAAAAAAATTTTTGTGGTCGTATATTGGTATGACGTTGGCGGCGTCGTCGTCGTCCGAAGACACATTAGTTTTCGCACTCTAACTTTAGTTTAAGTGAATGGATCTCAATGAAATTTTACCACAAGGTTCAATACCACAAAAGGAAGGTGGGGATTGATTTTGGGGGTTATGGTACCAACAGTTAAGGAATTAGGGGCCAAAAAGGGTCCAAAAATAAGCATTTTTGTAACTTCCAGACATAACTTGTGTGTAAGTGTATGGATCTCTCTGACATTGTACCACAAGGTTCCATATCACAAAGGGAATGCTGGGATTGATTTTGGGGGTAATTGCCTTCCAAATTTTAGGAATTAGGGGCCAAAAAGGGGCAAAAAACAAGCATTTTTCTAGTTTCATGACAATAACTTGTGTGTAAGTGTATGGATCTCTCTGACATTGTATCACAAGGTTCCATATCACAAAGGGAATGCTGGGATTGATTTTGGGGGTAATTGCCTCCAAATTTTAGGAATTAGGGGCCAAAAAGGGGCAAAAAACAAGCATTTTTCTAGTTTCATAACAATAACTTGTGTGAAAATGTATGGATCTTTATGAAATTGTACTACAAGGTTCCATATCACAAAGGGAAAGCTGGAATTGAGTTTGGGGGTAATTGCCCAAAAAGTTTAGGAATAAGGGGCCAAAAATGGGCCAAAAATAAGCATTTTTCTAGTTTCCAGACAATAACTTGTGTTCAAGTGTATGGATCTCTCTGAAATTGTAGTACAAGGTTCCATGTCACAAAGGGAAAGCTGGAATTGAGTTTGGGGGTAATTGCTCTAAACGTTTAGGAATTTGGGGCCAAAAAGGGGCCAAAAAACAAGCATTTTTCTAGTTTCCAGACAATAACTTGTGTTCAAGTGTATGGATCTCTCTGAAATTGTACTGCAAGGTACCATACCACAAAGGGAAAGCTGGGATTGAGTTTGGGGGTGATGAATCATAAGGGGGTTCAAAAAATTTGGGGGGGATTTTTTTTTCATTTTTTTTCTGTAAAATTTTCCATTTTAAATTGGTTATTTCTGATTTATATATAAAAGCAAATAATAATGATATGGTTTGAATAGGTAAATTAAAAAAATTTAAGTTCTTAGACCACTTTCATTCTGTGTGAGAAACCTATGCTGTGTCAAATATTTAATTACAATCCAAATTCAGTGCTGTATCAAGCTTGAATGTTGTGTCCATACTTGCCCCAACTGTTCAGGGTTCGACCTCTGCGGTCGTATCAAGCTGTGCCCCAGCGGAGCATTTTATTTTAATATCTTGTAAAAATATTTGAAATTTTTGAAGGGCTACTTATATAAGAAGAGTCATGGCTTAAACAAGGAATGGAAAAAGAAATATGTTACACTGAGTGATGATGGGAAATTGTCTTATCATCCAAGTCTGCATGTAAGTTATAGATATTCTTTATAGAAAAATTATATCTGCTTCTCAATCATTGATATTAATGCCAAAAAAGTAGGTTCATGAAGGGTCAATATTGGCTTTATAACTCGGTAGGAGTATTAAAAATCAGATGTAAAAATATCTCACAAATACAAAATCAATAAGTTCTAGAAAATCATAATTTTGACTACTTTTGTATAGGTAATTCAGAAAACATTTTTTTTTTGTGCATGCAGTAATGTTTCGATGTCCAACAATTATTTTGGTAAGATTAAGTTTTTTTATGTAATAATAATGATTATTGAATTTTATAATGTTTGTCAAAATGTTTAGCAACTTTGGTTAATCTGGTCATAAAAACTTTTGATTGAAGATGTGGGACTTTTTTTATCAGCCTTCCCTGTGCCTGTATCAATCTGCACAACTTTTCATAAAATTGCATACCACAGCTTTACAACTTAAATATACTTGACCCTGTCTTACTAACTTAAACTATTGTTTCTATCATGATAAACACCAAAGTACAATCTGATAAACCAATGGTCAGATTTTCATCACATTTTATTGTAAAATTTAAGCTGTCTGACAAAGAATAGTCCTTCTGAACTTGTTTGCTGCACTCACTACAAAATTTCATATTGTGACTCACGGCTGATATTTTACACTGTCAATATGCAGAAAACCTGACAATTGATATGCAACACCTAACAACTGACCTGTTAGATTAATTAAGATCATTGTACAAAATATATTCACAGGATTATATGGATGATATTCATAAGAAAGAGATAACATTGATGCATACCACAGTAAAAATTCCTGGATTACGACCAAGGACAACAAAAACCATCCCAAATTATCCAGCTCAGCATCCAAACCAAGAGGCTAATGGAAGTATAAAAGGTGAAACCAATCATATTGTGAAAGTTGTATGTTTTGTCATGCTTTAGTGGTCACTTTTGTTTGCATAAAGGGTTTGACAAACCACTTTTTAGCTCACCTGGCCCAGAGGGCCATGTGAGGTTTCCTCATCACTTGGCGTCCGGCATCGTCCGTTAACTTTTACAAAAATCTTCTCCTCTAAAACTAATGGACCAAATTTAACCAAACTTGGCCACAATCATCATTGGGGTATTTAGTTTTAAAAATGTGTCCAATGACCCTGCTTGCCAAACAAGATGGCAGACATGGCTAAAAATAGAACAATGGGGTAAAATGCAAATTTTGTCTATTATTTTGAAAATCGTTATGAATAGGGAAAATCTGACTACTCAAAAATGTTCAGAACATTGAGCTCTACCAATTGTCCAAATGCGTCTAAACTGTCAAACGACTTCTAATAGGAGTTATTGTCCTTAAATGACAAATTTTAAGAAAATTTAAATTGCAAAAATGATCAGCAAGACAAGTTCTACAAATAAGTCCAATATGGTCGTAATCGTCAGTCGACTCCTTATTAGAGTAAATGCCCTTTGATGACAATTTTTACCATTTTTTTTGCGTTTTTGCCTTATATCTTAAAAATTATAATAAATAGATAGAAACTTAAATAAGCAAAAATGATCAGCAAGACAAGACCTACAATTAAGAAAAATGGAGGAAATCGTCCCTCGTCTCTTTTCCAAGCCCTTATTGGAATTATTGCCCTTTAATGATGATTTTTACCATTTTTTTGCGTTTTGCTCATATGATATTACTTATAATAGATAAATAGACTCTTTAAATCACAAATATGATCACCAATACAAGATCTACTAACAAGTCAAATTTTGCCAATAAAAATGTAGACTGTCATTCTTTATAGGAGTGATTGCCCTTAAATGAGGATTTTTTTACCCTCTTTTGTGTTTTGAGCAAAAACTAAGGAAGATAGAGAGAAACTAAACAGACGAAATGATCAGCAATACAAGATCAACAAAGCAGAGATTTTTGTCATGAATTCTATTCTCGTCTACAATGTTGGAGAGTGTCCTTTGTTTAATATGCATAAAGACCAAGGTGAGCGACACAGGCTCTTTATAGCCTCTAGTTCTGTATTGGAAGAAAAGGCCTGTAGGACATTTGTAGTTACAGCAGGTGATAAATAATAGTTATGACTTCTGTCTCTTTATTGTATTTGTTTTCCTCCTGCCTGTCGGCACCTCCTTTGGAACTAATGCATGAGTGAGCCATTTTTGCATCTTGCGTTTTTATGTTGTGCTTTTTCCTAAAAAGTGGGACAATCTTATGAATTGTAGGGTGGAAATAAAAAGTGTTTCCAACAAGCCATGGGGCATACCACTGCCTATAGGAGTTATCACTGTAAAAAATATTTTCTGATAAAGATCATTTTCAGCTCTCCAAGCCCTTTGGGCTGTGTGAGCTATTGTCACCACTTCGCTTCCATAATCGATCCATTGTCTGTAGTCACAATTTATTTTTTACAAGTCTTCTCATCTGAAACTACAGAGTGTTATGTTATCAAACTTTACCTGAATGTTCCTAATGGAATCAAGCTTAAAAATTGAATCTAGGTATTTGATCCCTCATTAAATATGGCTTCTGTTGCTATAAATAGATCCAAGAGTCCGGAAACAGTCATATTTGTCAGTCATGACCTAAACTGAAAGCTATTTGTCCTAAATGGCATATTGAGATTTAGGTCAAATTTTATTTTTTTACAGAAATAATTTCAGTCATTTCATTGATCAGGTTTCTTAATTTCCATTTTTCACTCGATTTTTTTTTGAAAGGTGTTTTTGGTAATAAAACTGCCACTCCAGTATAGTATGATAATCCTGAGGGCCCTCCTAATAATCATATTAATGCCCCCAGGAGATATTGGCTAATGATCACTAATCACTTTTTGCCTGTGTTCTTCACACCTGACAGTAATGATCAAGCTCAGACCTTATATTTTAAAGAAATTCTATTCCATTACAACTAACTTCATTATTTAAGAACTTTTCAGTAAAGACAATCACCAATTCTGATTTAAAAGTAAAAAAAATTTTTGATTATATGTGTGTAAGAAAAAGTCATTTTTCACGAGTCAAACTTATGATTTATTTACTATTTAATACACATGCCTGAAATTGTCTTCATCAGATAAGACACCTAATCGTTAAATGCAAAATGATTTTATGCTAAATTAAACAAATGAAACTATTGTCAGTTATATTCAAACACTTTTACAGGTAAAAGAATTCAAAATACGATAATTTCCTGTAATTTGATGAACAGAACGAATCCCGTAAATTAATCCGGAATCACTCATAATTTATTATTAACTTGAAACTTCCGGTTTTTATTTCATTTTCAAATTCAAAAGAAGCAAAGGCGATTCCTATGAAATTTACCATTTTTAGTCATTCAAATCATTTCAGTTTTAAACTGTTGCATTCCATAAATCATTCTTGAACGTTTTTAGAAAATCGGTAAGAAACTTCATGAAGTAAATGAGATAGAACCAGTCAAATTTTAAACAAGTTCAATGATGCCATGAACCTAGTATGAATAATTTTGAGTGTGAAAAAAAGACCTGAACTTGCAAGTTATCTCAAAATGACTGAAACTGTATGAAAAAATTTCCAGATCCTTGAATAGAACATAGGGTAGAATTGCAGTTTTTGACTTACATCTCAAAAAGCAGTGAGAGCAAAAATGGTGGTGGTAAAAAATTATCAGCCGGTCAAGCAATGTCTTTCTACCATTAAATTAACAGTAAAATCACAAATTAGCAAGTTTTCCTTTTATTGTTATCTTAAAAACTGTTTTAGATAGAGCAAAACTTTAAGAAGTAAAAAAGACCAGCAAACTATGATCTACAAACATGTCAATTGACCTCTTATAAGAATTATTTCCCTTGAACAACAATTAGATTTGTTTCTCAGATACTAGTAGCAGTAGGATAACTATATTGGGTATATAGAATGATTGCAAGGTGTACATTTCCATCTTGATTAGTTTATTGCTGATAGCCATCTAACCTTTTCTTGTATTTTTGTCGAGCCTTCGACTTTAGTCGAAAAAGCGAGACATAGCGATCCTACATTTCGTCGGCGTCGGCGGCGTCCACAAATATTCACTCTGTGGTTAAAGTTTTTGAAATTTTAATAACTTTCTTAAACTATCCTGGATTTCTACCAAACTTGGACAGAAGCTTGTTTATGATCATAAGATTATATCCAGAAGTAAATTTTATAAAAATAAAATTCCATTTTTTCCGTATTTTACTTATAAATGGACTTAGTTTTTCTGCTGGGAAATATTACATTCACTCTGTGGTTAAAGTTTTTAAAATTTTAATAACTTTCTTAAACTATCCTGGATTTGTACCAAACTTGGACAGAAGCTTGTTCATGATCATAAGATAGTATCTAGAAGTAAATTTTGTAAAAAAATAAATCCATTTTTTCCTTATTTTACTTTTAAATGGACTTAGATTTTCTGCCAGGAAACAACACATTCGCTCTGTGGTTAAAGTTTTTAAAATTTTAATAACTTTCTTATACTATTTTGGATTTGTACCAAACTTGGACAGAACCTTGTTTATGATCAATAGCTAGTATCTAGAAGGAAATTTTGTAAAAAAAATAAATCCATTTTTTCCGTATTTTACTTTTAAATGGACTTAGATTTTCTGCCAGGAAACAACATATTCACTCTGTGGTTAAAGTTTTTAAAATTTTAATAACTTTCTTATACTATTTTGGATTTGTACCAAACTTAGACAGAAGCTTGTTTATGATCAAATGCTAGTATCTAGAAGGAAATTTTGTTTTCTTCCAGTTAACATGACATTCAGTCTGCAGTTAAAGTTTTTAAACATTTATTAGATTCATAAACTATCCTGGATTTTTACCAAACTTGGACAGAAGCTTCTCACAATCAAAAGATAGTATCAAGAGGAATATTTTTATTGATTAACTTCCTCATTTTTGTTGAGCCTGCGATTAACAGAAAAAGTAGCCGAGACACTGGGTTCCGTGGAACCCTTAGGAATTTTTTTGTTATTATGCCCCCGTTGCTAGAGGAAGGGGGCATTAAGAGTTGCCCTTGACTTTCCATCCGTCCGATTTTTTCGCACTCTAACTTGAGTTTTCCTCATTAAAATTTTATGAAACTCATACACAATGCTAAGATCCAAACTTTGCAGACAGAATTCAAATTTGGGCAGTGGAGGCACTTAACAATCTAGAGGTATGCACCTTTATAACTTGGAAAAATGCAATTTTTATGCCCCCGCCGTAGCGGAGGGGGCATTAAGTTTTACCCTTGTCCGTCTGTACGTACGTACGTACGTACGTCCTCCGTACGTCCCGAAATTGGTTTCCGTTCTCTAACTTGAGTTTGCCTCAACCAAATGTTATGAAACTTATACACAATGCTTATTACCACAAAACACAGATCAAGTTTGAATTTTGGTGGCGTCACTTTAAACGATCTAGAGTTATGCCCCTTTATAAAAGGAAATATTGCAAAATATTTAGTTTCTGTTCTCTAACTTAATTTTGCCTCAACCAAATGTTATGAAACTTATACACAATGCTTATTACCACAAAACACAGATCAAGTTTGAATTTTGGTGGTGTCACTTTAACCGATCTAGAGTTATGCCCCTTTATAAAAGGAAAAATTGCAAAATTTTTATTTTCTTCTAAATATCAAGTTTATATAATATATTTTTAAAATTGGAGTTATCTTCCTTTGACCATGATTATAGTTGAATCAACTACAATCAATGCTTTATACAATGCAATGCTTAATTTAGACTTCCACTGATAAAACACAGATCAAGTTGAATTTGGGTAGTGTCACTTTAACCATTATTGAGTTATGCCCCTTTATAAATAGAAAGATTTCAAAATTTTTTAGTTTCCATTCTGTAACTGAAGTTTTCCCCAGCCAAACATTATGAAACCTATACACAATATTCATTACCACAAAACTCAGTAAGGATCAAGTACAATTTTTTTGTTTCAGTTCTCTAACTTGATTTTTTGCCTCAACCAAATGTTATGAAACTTATACACAATGCTTATTACTACATAATACAGATTAAGTTCGAAATTAGGTGGCAACACTTTTACCATTCTAGAGTTATGTCCCTTTATAAACATAAAAACTGCTTATTTTTTTTAGTTTGTCTCAACCAAATGTTGTAAAACTTATACACAATGCTTATTACCACAAAACTCAGATCAAGTTCAAATTTGGGTAGCGTCACTTTTACCGTTCTTCAGTTATGTCCCTTTATAACTATATGATATGCAAGCGGGGGCATCATCTGTGTCCACATGTGGACACTATCCACATTTATTTTGTTTTTGTTTTTGTTTCCACTCTCTAAAGGTTCACTGGACACAACAGAACTTATCAGAATACTTATTGCATAAAAAATAAAAACAAAATAGTGAAAATATGAAAATAACACAACACAAAAATACCTAAGATTAGAAGAATAGAACTCTTTAAAAACGAGCAGTGACATCAAATGCTCTCCCAAGTATTTTCACATATTATAAGCAAGCTTGATAAGAGGCATTCATGTCTTCAGACACATTCTTCTTTTATTTTAATTTTTTGTTGACAAAATGAGATAATGGCAATTGCCAACAGAACCCTGATCCCAAACATACATTAAAATTGGTACGACAGTTTCCTGGATGAGAGTTTGAATGCTTGTTTTACAGTGGGTGCTACACAACTGAACTCTTTCATGCCATGTTTATCAATCTTTGTATAATAGTTTCCCCATGAGGAGAAGATAACATATATATCATATCGAAGTCCTACTCGGAGAATAATGTTGCTTTATAGATATGTGAAAAAACTGAGGGGACGAAAATATATTTTGTAGGGGTATACTTTGCAATGTCTTTTATTTTGTGGTTTATGATTGTTGGTTGAATTTGTTTTTTTTTGTGGTTTTTGAAGCAGATAAATCTGCGGAAAAGTAATAGATTCAAACTTTCAAATAACAATTGTGGAATTTTAAAGTTTGCAAATTTTTCATGTTTTGTATTTTTCTGTAGTAAATAAGTTAAAATATTGTGACCAAAAAATATCCCTTTTGATTTTGTAGATAGCATATTGAACATTGTGCATTCTGACACTAACATTACTGTGTTTTGTTTTTTGATTCCATATTTTAGTTTTAGATGCATGTTGTGTATTTGTGTGACACCTGGACATATTTATTTACAGGAAAATCAAACAAAGATAAAGAGAATGTACAGCTAACAGGCTTTGATGTAGTTAAACAACGTCATTCTTCAAACTCTGATAACAATTTTACTCAGCCACAAGGTGTGTCTTGCATGTTGCAGGTTTAAATACGACTGCAAAAAATTTTTGCGGTCATATATTGGTATCACGTCGTCGTCATCGTCGTCCGAAGACACTTGGTTTCCGGACAATAACTTTAGTATTAGTTAATAGAAATCTATGAAATTTAAACACAAGGTTTATAACCACAAAAGGAAGGTTGGGATTGATTTTGGGGGTTATGGTCCTATAAGTTAAGGAATTAGGGGCCAAAAAGGGGCCCAAATAAGCATTTTTCTAGTTTTCAGACAATAACTTGTGGACAGTGTATGGATCTCTCTGAAATTGTACAACAAGTTTCCATACCACAAAGGGATGGTTAGAATTGGCTTTGGGGGGTAATGGCTCCAACCGTTTAGGAATTAGGGGCAAAAAGGGGGAAAAAACAAGGGTTTCCTTGTTAATGGACAATCACTTTTAAGTACAATGTTAAACTTGGATTACCTCCCTTACACTGCTTTAAAATTATGTTTAAAGAAATGTATTGTTTTGAAGTGATTAGCTGTCAATTTATTTTTAGAAGTTACTAATAAAAATGCTGATTAAAGATATATTATTTTTAGACATGATTATGTCAAAATGTATGTACCGGGTATGTCATTTTCTATTTTAAGACTTTTATGATGTATTTAAATGGATAATTATGGTTGCAAACTCCATTGGAAATTTGAATTGAGATAATAACCATATCTTGAGGGAAAGATTTTTTTTTTTGGAAAAAGGGGAGGGGTGGGAGGTGAACAAAAATTGGTGGTGGGGGGTTGGGGTTACAAGAAACTGTGGGGGACATTTTCTCATTACAGATTTCAGAAATTAAAAAAAATTTCTTCAAATATTTTTTTTTGTCAAAGATATGTCCATTCATCAGTAAAATACAGAAACAAGAATAAGAAAAAAATAAAAAAATCCCAGGGTGCAATCTCTTGGTTATGAGGAAACTTCTGTCCAAGCCTTATAAGATTCCATGAAGGTTAGGCAAATTAATTGATGTCTAAATATCTGTAACCCCAAGACTATATCTACGATACATTAACTGCAAAAATAGTCCAATTATAAAAAAATGGGGGAAAATGGAAGAAGAGAAAAAACACTACCTTGGCTGTCATGGGGGTCATTGATTTTGCTGCTTCTCCACTAAGCATGTTGCAGTAAGGAGTAAGAGCAAAGAGTTGTTTTCTCAGAGTCAGAATGATGTGTCCAGTAAGGTTGATATGTCTTCCTGCAGACTTTTACCTTGTTAAAATTACTGCTTAATGTATATGGCCTAGAGAAAAAAGTAGGTTTCATAATCAATAAATCATATCACATCAACATGTTCTCTTCCTTATATAAACGTAATATGTGCACCTACAGTTGAAGTCAAAGGGACGCAACATAACTATTTGACTTGTCCAAGGTTAAGAGTTGCAGCATATTTTCCTATTTCAGTAATGTACCTTGTATTGTCAACCTGGTATTTTAAGATTCCGATGGATTGGAATATAAAAAAAGGTTTCCCACCTTAAAATACCAGGTTGACAATACAAGCATGAAACAAATCGTTGAAAATATATGCATTCAACATCCTCCTTTGTGGCTAATTTTTGAGATGGAGTCTTAACCTACATAACTTTCATTAGTTTAATTATAATTTTAATGGTTCTTTTATCTCTTATTTATTTTCTCTGTTTTGGTCTTTTAATTCATTCAATAATTATCTCGGTTAAAATGTTTTCGTGAAAAAAAATATTTCTGAATGGTCAATAATGAAAGGTGTTGAGAAACAATAAGTTTTACATGCTATTCTGATTGTTATGCAAACAAATTGGTTGACATGATATTAATTACCCGGTAAGGAAACTCGTTGATGCTTAATGAAATCATACGATCTCAATATTGAATCCGTATTTTGAAAATAGTTTTTTTTCTTTTCTTTCCCAATTTTCTTGTACTTAGAATTCGAATTAGCAGGCTTAATTCATATTCATTTTTCTACAAGAGGACTTTAGAGATAACTGTATTTGAAGCTTTGCGGATGTCCATCTGTTTTACGGTCGCAAATTTAGTTTACCTGGTGACACGTAGCGGAAAGAGGTAAATGGATATTTGCGACAGTAAAACTACCGATGGACATTCGCAAAGCTTCAAATACAATACAGTTATCTCTGTTCTAATGCAAAATAATCAAATCATTCAATGTTAGTCATTATTCCAGTGTAAAATTTTCATTAAACGAAAATTCCGCGAAATGATGTTATCTTCTTTGGTGCTTAAACTAGATGACGTAATATGCATCAAACATAAATACCGGATTTTTCTGGCTTCTTGTCCGCTTCAGCAAGTAATAAAATTTGATAAAAAGAAGATTTCTAGGTACAAAATGTGAATTTTTTTTGCTTATTATGGGAGAAATTACATGTCAATACATTTCGGTACTTAAAATGTCGGCTTCCATAGTTACAGACAGGGAGATAGAGAATTATACGCTTATTGTCATCCAATCAGAACCATTGATACAAAATAATTGCATTAGAATTAAGAATATACTCAAGTTTACAGAGTTTTGACACAACTGAGTTAGGCATGCTGAGGTTCAACTACAACACCACAAAGAAGAAAAAATTATGTGTATATAAGGGTTGCTGAAAATAGGATTTTAACCAACTAATAAACTTATTGGCTAACATCAGATGTAGCCAAATTACAAAATATTTTTGATTTAAGATTCCTTATAGTTATTTACATACTAACTCTCACTAAATATGAAGTCTTAACCGAAATATACTCAAAAAGTTGCATTTTATGTAGTCAGCAACTCTTCAAACTCTAAAGTTTATTAATCAAATCTATACATCTAAAATAAAAGTCAGGAATATAGAGTTTTAATTATTTTTTAGTTATTCCAAATGGCGATAGTTTGAAGCTGGGTGTCAATGGTAGCAGTGTGGGTTCAAAAATAGAGACACCAAATGTAAAGAAACGACATCGGAGAGCGAAAAGTGGTGGTATTAAAAATTTTGGTCCAGGAGATGGTGAAGGTAAACAAAAAAGGGTTAAAAGTAGTTATTCTCTGTCTTTGATTGAATAGTATACAATTATTGTCTTTTGATGAGGTAAATATGTGGTTTTATTTACTTTTGAGAAACTGATATTCACTGAGGCTATCTTCAGAGTTGCCTTCACTGCCTTTATCAACAATAACAAAAACCAGTCCATATCAAAATAAGTGTTAGGGGTAAATGAGTAAACAATATGTTTTTAATTTAATTTCAACATTTGCATTGTACTATCAAAACTACATACATGCGAGACATCTCCTGTGTAAACAGTTTATTCTCTTGTTAAAGGTCAATTTTCAGGATTTAGTCTTGTTTCACATACATTTTGTTGTATAATTTAGAAATAAACACATTCAGTATATGGGACTTGGACATTATGCAAACACATAGGGTATTTGATGCTCATCCTTGCACTAAGTGGTCATTTTAATTTTAAAGGTATAACTTAAATTCAATATTATTTTTCAGATTCAGATGGCTATGAATTTATGATTATCTCGTTAGAAAATAAGCAATGGCATTTTGAAGCTACTGATTGTAATGTAAGTACTTTAACTGCATAAATACTTAGATAAGATAACTACAAAGTTCTTTGTGATGATTTGGTTTTTAGATTGTGAAACATTAAGCGCATGCGTCGAAAACCAATCTCTTTTAATATTATGTTTATTATAAGAAATTACCTATCTGACTTGAATATTTAGTGTGTCTAACCCTGCATTCATTGTTTCCCTGGCCTAAATGTGGTTATATTTGAGTGAATTTGTCAATTTTTAGCCAAACTTTTGTTTGACCTGTTTGAAATGTAAATGTCAACGTCTTATAAGAAAAGTTCAAGAAAAATAGTTCGTTTTCACTTTCGTACATGTCTATTCATCAACTTAAAACTCTTTATCTTGAAACAATGGACTTAATATTGGGAGCCAAATAGGGCCCTTACCAAACTTACTCCTTTGCAAGAAGACCGCGTCTGCATTAATTGCCAAGAATTACAGGGATAATTACAAAAGCTGCAAACTGTAATGATAATGTAATCTGTGTAGCGGTTGTACATAATAGAAATGATTTTAGATAATTCTTTAATGATTGGACTGAATTCAATGTTGATTGTAATTTGAAAATTAAACTGTGAACAGGTGTAGAAAACATGATGAAAAAGGTTATTATGTCCCTTTAAAAAATGCCTATCAGATCCTTAACAATGGAGGTCTGAAAAGATATTGGTGTTAAGATCCAAGTTGAACCAATGAGTTCTTAGCTTTGTTGACACTGAATCAATTTAAACATATGAAATTACATTGACTAGGTTAGAGATATAGTCTCCTTTGAGATTGCTAGTCAGAATAATGTTTCTTCAAACTTACTTTGTGAGCTAGCACATTAAAAATAAATCTCCAGATCAAAATCAAACTGGTACAGAGATGGATATATTTATAACTCATTATGTTGTCCTGGATATGCATATAACATATTCTTTAGGGTATTATTTACCATTCATTCTAGTTGCCTATTAACTTTAATGTTAATACTGTGGATTCATTATTATTCGTTGGATACCAATTTCCGTGGATTTCGTTGTAACCCGGGAACAACGAATTCAAATTTCCAACGAATAACAAAATTTGTATAGGAATTTATGAAGAATTTTGTAAAACCACGAAATCAAATATCCACGAAAATGCAAGTTTTCCTCAATCCACGAAAATTGGTACCCACGAAAATAAATGAATCCACAGTAATTCTAATGAAGTGATGCACTTATTTTTATTTTAGGAACGTGATGAATGGGTAAATGCAATAGAACAGCAAATACTCAACTGTCTACAGGGCAATGAAAGTAGTAAATCCAAGAAACATTTAACAGCTGATCCTGCTGGTGTACAGACTATTCGGGGGGTTCGTGGAAATAATGTCTGTGCTGACTGTGGGACAGCCAGTAAGTACAAGCTACAAGCTGTTTTCCAATTTGAAGGCAAATTAGAAGTATCTATATAGCTAGTTAAGTGACTAAAATCTATTTGTCTTGCATTAATGTTTACATGGATTTTTGTAACATTCAATTGTCATAGTTAAGTTATAAATAACATGATTGTTAATATGAATTCATTCTATGCTATGTATTCTGCTCAAGGATCCGGAAATGGTCATATTTGCCAGACATGACCTAAACTGAAAGGTCATTTACCATTTAGTAGATAGACTCGTAAATAAACTGGCCCTCCAACCTATAATAATCTGACTAAAATAGGTATACTGCTGACCATCTTTTCTTTGGTGAAAATTAGGGTCCATATCTATGGTAGCTACTGAATTTTCTGTTAAATTTTACTTAGGAAGTGGTGAAGTAAAAATGTTTAGTTGTGTATAAGGTTCTATCTAAACATTTTCCCCTTCAGCCTTGAACTTGTAAGTGTATTTTTTTTATCACATAAAACAGGTTGAATATTAAAGTTGACATCACAGAAATGGATTCTCATAGTAAGAGATTCTGAGGAATAAAGCTGGTTTCTGCTCGACACAAAATGTTAAATTGGTTACCTCCCTTGATTTGTTGCACTTAGATTTTTTCCCCCAATTATATGTAATTTTGATAAATTTTATAATAATAACCATAAATTGATTGCAATACCTGCACATGTTGAACATAATGGTAATTTAAGATAATTTGCTGTGGGGTAAAACAAAATATTTGCAACAGATTTCAAATAATTGAACCATAGATTTAAATTGTACTGTGTTCTTACACTTTAAAAAAGGTTTGAGATGTTGTTTAAAAGAGGAATAAATTGGTTTTTCCAATTTTATTTTGGACCAATCTTTGGCAGCTTTTGATGAATTTTCATCAACAGCTTATACATTATTGAAGTGGCATAATTTTAACTAATATTACAGCTCTTTTCATAATGCTAGCAAGACAAAGGTTTGTTTGACTTGCTTGCTTTCTTTGTATCAATGTTTGCTCAAGCATTGTAATTAAGATTGACATCTGCAAACAATATAAGTAGGCGGAGTTAAACCTGTGTATAGGAAAATTTGATTATTTGATAATGTCTAATCAAATTTAAATATAATGTATACAAGTTTAAATCCGCCTTTTTATGTTGTTTTCAGATGTCCATCTTAATTACAATGCTTGAGCAAACATTGATACAAACAAAGCAAGCAAGCCAAACAAACATTTGTCTTGCTAGCATTATGAAAAGAGCTGTAAAACAATTGAATGCTAGACATTGATACATCAACAAAAATTCTCATTTGATATAGCCAAATATGGTTGACCTATTCTTATAGTATCAGATCAAAGTTCAGACACTTTATATACTACCCCCAAAAAATTTGTGAGCATATAGTTATTGCCAGGTTTCATAAGACTGATACCTCATTTTCATGGTTAATTGGTCAATGTTGAGTTTTCATGGTTTTGTCAGTTTATCAGATACTATAAGAATAGGTCAACCATATTTGGTGTATGGAATCTTTGTAAGGTGTATATGTCTGTCTGGCAGATTTCATCTGACCTTGACTTCATTATTTTTATTCAATTATGATACAAAAAAATAAGCAGGCGAGACAGTTCAGTGTGTGCACTCTTGTTATATATTGTAAAAAAAGTAATTTCTTATTTTTTAGAAGGAAATTTCAAATGCTGACAAATCAACAATTACCCAGTTGATGTCATTGTTAACATTATCAAGTTTTTTTTCCAGTCAAAGTACTTATATATGTGAATACATTCCTGTATTTTTCTTTTTTTTAGACCCAGATTGGTCTAGTCTTAATTTGGGTACTTTAATCTGTATAGAATGCTCAGGGATCCACAGAAATTTGGGAACACATTTATCTAGAGTTAGATCTTTAGATTTAGATGAATGGCCGTAAGTATTACCATGCTGTATGAACAAAAACAAATGTGAGGTAAACATCAATGAGAAGAAACTCGCAAACGAAAAAAAAACAACCAAATGATATGTCATATGTATTCTTTAAAGTAAATGTTTATATAAGTGTTAAGTGGATCTTTTCAAGAGAAATTTTTTTAGTCCCCTACCGACGAAGTCTAAGGGGACTTTATGTTTGCACTCTGTCTGTCTGTCTGTCTGTCTGTCCATCCATCTCTCAGTCCGGCAAATCAGTTTTCCACACTTTTCATGCCCCCACCGTTGCTGAGGGGGCATTAAGTTTTACCCTTGTCCGTCTGTACGTATATATGTACGTCCCAAAATTGGTTTCCTTCTCTAAATTTAGTTTGCCTCAACCAAATGTTATGAAACTTATACACAATGCTTATTACCACAAAACACAGATCAAGTTTGAATTTTGGGGGCGTCACTTTTACAGTTCTTGAGTTGTGTCCTTTTATAACGTTATATGCAAGCGGGGGCATCATCTGTGTCCATGGCACATTCCCAATTTATTTTCTTCATGCTTGAAGATATTGATTTAATAATTGGTACATTGTTTTATCATGACAAGTTACAGATCAAGTTCGAATTTTGTTCCGGTCTGATGATTTTGTGCAGAGTTATGGTCCTTGGACTTAGAGAATTCACTCAAATATTCAGTTTTCAGCGCTGTTTCTCGTCATGCTTGAAGATATTGATTTGATAATTGGTATATAGTTTTATCATGACAAGTTACAGACCAAGTTCAAATTTTATTCTGGTCTGATGATTTTTTGCAGAGTTATGGTCCTTGGACTTAGAAAATTCACTTAAATAATCAGTTTTCCATACTTTTTTTCTTCATGCTTGAAGATATTGACTTGATATTTGTTACATAGTTTACACCATGACAAGTTATAGATCAAGTTAGAATTTTGTTCCAGTACAATTAATTTTTTACTGGTAGTGGACTCTGTATTGCCATGCAATACTCTCAGAATGCTTGTTATTAAGTCTCCCAAACGAAGTTTGGGAAGACTTATTGTTTTTGCTCAGTTATTATTATTATTATTATGTCACCCGATCGACAATGTTGGGTGACATATTGCTTTTCCTCTGTTTCTTTTTCTGTATTATTATTAAGTCTCCCAAACGAAGTTTGGGAAGACTTATTGTTTTTGCTCAGTTCTTATTAAGTCTCCCAAACGAAGTTTGGGAAGACTTATTGGTTTTGCTCAGTTCTTATTATTATTATTATTCTTCTTCCTCTTCCTCTTCCGCTGCTTTTAAATTTGAACTTGTCCGCACCCATTCTCCAAAACCGCTTGTCAGATTAACTTAGGGTTTCACAATATGTTAGACTAACATGTCTAGTGGTGCAATCAGGGTTTTGTTCGTGCAATAGGGTTTATAAAGGGGTACTTTGAGGGGCAAAAAGAAAGGAGGGTTTTACTATAGAACCCTATGGGATTTTATTTTTTTAAATTTTCAAATGATTATAAATTGAAAACCGTTTGTGATAGACACAATCTTTTTAATTGAAAATGTACGAAATGATAAAGCACATTAAATGAAATACAGGGTTAGTCCCCAGGGGTCACCCCCACCCCCTGCCATTTAAGAAAGTTCTAATACCTTGTAAGTGGTCAAGATCCCTACCCCTAAACCATATATATTCTGGTTTGTCATGCTAAGATGGTTTGAATGATATACATGGTTAGTCCCCAGGGGTGATCCTGACCCCCTGCCATTTGAGAAAGTTCTAATATCTTGTAAATGGTAGAGATCCCCACCCCTAAACCATATATATTCTGGTTTGTCATGATAAAGCACATCAAATGAAATACAGGGTTAGTCCCCAGGGGTCACCCCCACCCCCTGCCATTTAAGAAAGTTCTAATATCTTGTAAATGGTCGAGATCCCCACCCCTAAACCATATATATTCCTGTTCGTCATGTCTCGAACATTTGAATGACGTATAGGGTCAGTCCCCAGGGGTTCCCCCCACCCCCAATGTTCTAGTATCTTGTTAATGGTCGAGATCCCCACCCCTAAACCATATATATTCAGGTTTGTCATGCGAAGATGGTTTGAATGATATACTGGGTTAGTCCCCAGGGGTCATCCTGACCCCCTGCCATTTGAGAAAGTTCTAATATCTTGTAAATGGTCGAGATCCCCACCCCTAAACCATATATATTCCTGTTCGTCATTTCTCGAACATTTTAATGACGTTTAGGGTCAGTCCCCAGGGGTTCCCCCCACCCCCAATGTTCTAGTATCTTGTAAATGGTCGAGATCCCCACCCCTAAACCATATTTATTCAGGTTTGTCATGCTAGAATGATTTGAATGATATACAGGGTTAGTCCCCAGGCATCACTAATGCATATAACTTTACTGGACCAAACCAATTTTCACTGGACTTTGCCGAATGTCAGGCGACCCTGGGAATTACGAATTATGGGAGCTTCGTTTGGGAGACTTCGTAACAGCATCCTGTTACAATCATTTCTTGTTATTATTATTATTCTTCTTCCTCTTCCTCTTCCTCTTCCGCCGCTTTTAAATTTGAACTTGTCCGCACCCGTTCTCCAAAACCACTTGTCAGATTAACTTAGGGTTTGACAATATGTTAGACAAACATGTCTAGTGGTGCAATCAGGGTTTTGTTTGTGCAATGGGGTTTATAAAGGGGTACTTTGAGGGGCAAAAAGAAAAGAGGGTTTTACTATAGAACCCTATGGGATTTTATTTTTTAAAATTTTCAAATGATTATAACTTGAAAACCGTTTGTGATAGACACAATCTTTTTAATTGAAAATGTTCTAAATGATAAAACCCATTAAATGAAATACAGGGTTAGTCCCCAGGGGTCACCCCCACCCCCTGCCATTTAAGAAAGTTCTAATACCTTGTAAGTGGTCAAGATCCCCACCCCTAAACCATATATATTCTGGTTTGTCATGCTAAGATGGTTTGAATGATATACAGGGTTAGTCCCCAGGGGTCATCCCGACTCCCTGCCATTTGAGAAAGTTCTAATATCTTGTAAATGGTCGATATCCCCACCCCTAAACCATATATATTCTGGTTTGTCATGCTAAGATGGTTTGAATGATATACAGGGTTAGTCCCCAGGGGTCATCCCGACCCCCTGCCATTTTAGAAAGTTCTAATATCTTGTAAATGGTCGAGATCCCCACCCCTAAACCATATATATTCTGGTTTGTCATGATAAAGCACATGAAATGAAATACAGGGTTAGTCCCCAGGGGTCACCCCCACCCCATGCCATTTAAGAAAGTTCTAATATCTTGTAAGTGGTCAAGATCCCCACCCCTAAACCATATATATTCTGGTTTGTCATGCTAAGATGGTTTGAATGATATACAGGGTTAGTCCCTAGGGATCATCCTGACCCCCTGCCATTTGAGAAAGTTCTAATATCTTGTAAATGATCGATATCCCCACCCCTAAACCATATATATTCTGGTTTGTCATGCTAAGATGGTTTGAATGATATACAGGGTTAGTCCCCAGGGGTCATCCCGACTCCCTGCCATTTGAGAAAGTTCTAATATCTTGTAAATGGTCGATATCCCCACCCCTAAACCATATATATTCTGGTTTGTCATGCTAAGATGGTTTGAATGATATACAGGGTTAGTCCCCAGGGGTCATCCCGACCCCCTGCCATTTTAGAAAGTTCTAATATCTTGTAAATGGTCGAGATCCCCACCCCTAAACCATATATATTCTGGTTTGTCATGATAAAGCACATGAAATGAAATACAGGGTTAGTCCCCAGGGGTCACCCCCACCCCATGCCATTTAAGAAAGTTCTAATATCTTGTAAGTGGTCAAGATCCCCACCCCTAAACCATATATATTCTGGTTTGTCATGCTAAGATGGTTTGAATGATATACAGGGTTAGTCCCTAGGGATCATCCTGACCCCCTGCCATTTGAGAAAGTTCTAATATCTTGTAAATGATCGAGATCCCCACCCCTAAACCATATATATTCTGGTTTGTCATGCTAAGATGGTTTGAATGATATACAGGGTTAGTCCCCAGGGGGCATCCCGACCCCCTGTCATTTGAGAAAGTTCTAATATCTTGTAAGTGGTCAAGATCCCCACCCCTAAACCATATATATTCTGGTTTGTCATGCTAAGATGGTTTGAATGATATACAGGGTTAGTCCCTAGGGGTCACCCCCACCCCCTGCTATTTAAGAAAGTTCTAATATCTTGTAAATGGTCGAGATCCCCACCCCTAAACCATATATATTCTGGTTTGTCATGATAAAGCACATCAAATGAAATACAGGGTTAGTCCCCAGGGGTCACCCCCACCCCCTGCCATTAAAGAAATTTCTAATATCTTGTAAGTGGTCAATATCCCCACCCCTAAACCATGTATATTCTGGTTTGTCATGTGAAGATGGTTTGAATGATATACAGAGTTAGTCCCTAGGGGTCACCCCCACCCCCTGCTATTTAAGAAAGTTCTAATATCTTGTTAATGGTCGAGATCCCCACCCCTAAACCATATATATTCTGGTTTGTCATACCAAGATGGTTTGAATGATATAACGGGTTAGTCCCCAGGGGTCATCCCGACCCCTGGTCATTTGAGAAAGTTCTAATATCTTGTAAATGGTCGTGATCCCCACCCCTAAACCATATATATTCCTGTTCGTCATGTCTCGAACATTTGAATGACGTTTAGGGTCAGTCCCCAGGGGTTCCCCCCACCCCCAATGTTCTAGTATCTTGTAAATGGTCGAGATCCCCACCCCTAAACCATATATATTCTGGTTTGTCATGCCAAGATGATTTGAATGATATACAGGGTTAGTCCCCAGGCATCACTAATGCATATAACTTTACTGGACCAAACCAATTTTCACTGGTTTTTGTCCAATGTCAGGCGACCCTGGGAATTATGAATTATGGGAGCTTCGTTTGGGAGACTTCGTAACAGCATCCTGTTACAATCATTTCTTGTTATTATTATTATTATACTTCCACCTAATTTTGTCTGGGAGTTTTCTCAGAGCCGATGGAACCAATCTAAATGATTGTTCACTATAACAAGGAACACCAACTTTTGTGTTGCAGTGGAACTTTGGCTATAAAAAATGGCTGCCGTTACCATGGAAACCGAAAAAAGGTGAAAAAATAAAATTTTCAAGTTTGGTGAATAATTTGGATATGCATAAACTTAGAATCATGATATTTTAATACAATGTAGGTGCCCACTATATCCTGGTTTTGGATGATTTTGGCAATCACTGGAACTACTATGTTGCCATGGAAACTACACCAAAAATTTCAAAAATATCAAAATGCTCAAAATTTAATGAAACTTCACAGTAATGATGAGCAACATTGGTAGATGTAGATTTTGGCGTTGGAATTTCAAAAATGTCTGCCTTTACCATGGAAACAATGCAAAACAGGTCAAAATGATCCAAAAACTTAAAAGTAGCATTTACTTTCTTAAAATGGTATGTCAAATCCATTGAATTTTTAATGGTATGTTCCCTCCCATGTACAAATGTACCACCTGTAATTAAATTTTGGGAGTGGTCTCTGTTACCATAGGAACCAGCAAAAATGTCAAAAATTTCAAAAATTTCAAAATGCTTAAAACTTTATGAAACTTCATACGATTGTTAACTGGCAAGTCTGGATGAGACTTCTGACTTTAGAATTTCCAAAATGGCCACCATTGCCATGGAAATTGCAAAAATGTCAAAAATTTCAAAATGCTCCAAACTTAATGAAACTGTGGTCACCCCCACCCCATGCCATTTAAGATTAGTTCTAATATCTTGTAAGTGGTCAAGATCCCCACCCCTAAACCATATATATTCTGGTTTGTCATGCTAAGATGGTTTGAATGATATACAGGGTTTGTCCCCAGGGGTCATCCCTACCCCCTGCCATTTGAGAAAGTTCTAATATCTTGTAAATGGTCGAGATCCCCACCCCTAAACCATATATATTCTGGTTTGTCATTCCAAGATGATTTGAATGATATACAGGGTTAGTCCCCAGGCATCACTAATGCATATAACTTTACTGGACCAAACCAATTTTCACTGGACTTTGCCCAATGTCAGGCGACCCTGGAAATTACGAATTATGGGAGCTTCGTTTGGGAGACTTCGTAACAGCATCCTGTTACAATCATTTCTTGTTATTGGTAGATATTATTAAATGCTGTATTCTAACGAGTTTATGAAAAATAACTTGCCAAAATATGCCAAGTAAAAATACCTTACAAAGTAAAAGTTCATTTGGTTTTAATATATACCATTAATTGATCAGTGTAAAATAGAAATTTGAAATTTCTAACTTTGTGGGAGATAAACTTTTGAAGTACTTTTATTTTGCAGACCTGATCTTCAGAGAGTAATGATGTCCATAGGGAACAGTACAGCAAACAGTGTTTGGGAGGCTAATATTAAAGGTCGACCAAAAGTTATACCATCCTCATCAAGGTCAGTGCCTAAGGTCATGCCTTTCTGTCTACTTACTCATTGATAAGAATCTTCTAAAATTTGGTTAGATGAGGACTTGCAAGGAAAGCTGTATGCTTGAAAGAAAGTTCCACCTATTTTGAATTACAATTGATAGCTCACCTAGCCCTATGGACCATGATGAGCTATTGTCATCTCTTGGCATCTGGTGTTTTTGTTGAAAAATTTTGTAAAACTTGTCTCCTCTGAAACATCTCTACCTATTTCAACCAAACTAGAGCTTAATGATCCTTAGGGTATCCAGTATAAAGTTTGTGTTTTTGGAAAGTTTGCTATAGCTTGCTATTGCAATATACTTTCCTAAGGCATCGGCCTCAAACCGGAAGTTGGACAGACTATCTTACTATGTCTACTAGATAATGTAGTACTAGTGTTTGAATACTAATTCAAGGAAGATGCTTTTGAAATTTTGAGTTACTTCTATTTTGATTAGCTTACAGCTTGAATAAAAATGTACTGAATGTTCATCAATAATTCAAATGAATTCAACTTCATTTGGAAAATGGGTATCACTGTCAACGTATATTTGTTCCACTGGAAACTTTGTTATAAACAATGTCATAATATCTGTTCCTGTTGGAACAAATATTCTATACCATTTAGGAACATTTACTGTAATATTTATTCCTGTGGAAATAATATTCCAGAATATTTTTTCCATTTGGAACTTATATTATGAAGGAACTTCTATTCTGTGACATCACAAACATTACTTCGAGGATCTGCACTGCGCGGAAATTAAAATCAATACACATCTACGCGAGACAGCAATTTCTACGTAATGCTTTTATCGGTATTCCTCAGACATGTGTGACATCCATATATGTGTACCTTACGACGGGAGTACAATAACCCCTGTTTCAGAGGTTTCCTCCAGTCTGCCGGTTGAAGAGAAAATAAACTATCAAGCTACGCCCAGGGGAGCATTTTATTGCATTTTTTTTCAGAAAATATCATAGATAGTTAAAAACTGTAAAAATGTCAACAAAATGATGTATACAAATAAGGCAGTATGGCTGATTTTGTCAGTGGACCTCACATAGAAGTTATTTCCCTTGACATATGATTTTTACCCATTTTTGCATATTTTACAGAAACCAATCTTTGATAATTCTATTTCTCCTGCATTATGTACACATACACATATGTAAAATATATGATCAATCACTGAAAAGTACAACAAAGCATTCCAACTTTTGTTCAAAATATCAACTTTTCTATTTTTAATAGAACCTATTTTTATACGACCGCAAAAATTGAAAATTTTTTGGTCGTATATTGGTATGACGTTGGCGTCGTCGTCGTCGTCGTCGTCGTCGTTGTCGTCGTCGTCGTCGTCGTCCGGCGTCGTCTGGCGTCGTCCGAAGACACATTGGTTTTCGCACTCTAACTTTAGTTTAAGTCAATGGATCTCCATGAAATTTTACCATAAGGTTCAATACCATAAAAGGAAGGTTGGGATTGATTTTGGGGGTTATGGTACCAACAGTTAAGGAATTAGGGGCCAAAAAGGGGCCAACAATAAGCATTTTTGTAACTTCCAGACAATAACTTGTGTGTAAGTGTATGGATCTCTCTGACATTGTACCACAAGGTTCCATATCACAAAGGGAAGGCTGTAATTGATTTTGGGGGTAATTGCCTCAAAATGTTAGGAATTAGGGGCCAAAAAAGGGGCAAAAAACAAGCATTTTTCTAGTTTCATGACAATAACTTGTGTGTAAGTCTTTGGATATTTCTGAAATTGTACTACAAGGTTCCATATCACAAAGGGAAAGCTGGAATTGAGTTTGGGGGTAATTGCCCGAAACGTTTAGGAATTAGGGGCCAAAAAGGGGCCAAAAATAAGCATTTTTCTAGTTTCCAGACAATAACTTGTGTTCAAGTGTATGGATCTCTCTGAAATTGTACTGCAAGGTACCATACCACAAAGGGAAGGCTGAGATTGAGTTTGGGGGTGATGAATCATAGGGGGGTTCAAAAAATTTTGGGGGGGGATTTTTTTTTTTCTTTTTTTTTTCTTTTTTTCCTTTTTTTTTTCTTTTAAAATTTTCCATTTTAAGTTGGTTATTTCTGATTTATATTTAAAAGCAAATAATAATGATATGGTAGGAGATACACACCAAACAGGATGTGTAAATTATTATATAATAAGTATTGTGCAATAGCAAGAAATTTTCAATTGCACAGTATTGCACAATAGCAAGAAATCTTCAATTGCACAATATTGCGCAATAGCAAGAAATCTTCAATTGCACAGTATTGCGCAATAGCAAGAAATATCCAATAGCACAATATTGCGCAATAGCAAGAAATTGTCAATTGTACAGTATTGCGCAATAGCAAGAAATAATCAATTGCACAGTATTGTGCAAAAGAAGATACTTCGTATAAATTGCTTATTTCTTGATCAATTTCAATGGGGTTTTATTCTTGAATTCTTGGGGTTCTTTAATATGCTGAATCTAACCATGTATTAAGTTTTTGGATTTTGGGCCCCGTTTTTAAATTGGTCCACATTGAGGTCCAAAGGGTCCAAAATTGAACTTTGTTTGATTTCATCAAAAATTGAATTATTGGGGTTCTTTGATATGCCGAATCTAACCGTGTATTTAGATTCTTAATTTTTGGTTCTGTTTTCAAATTGGTCTACATAAAGGTCCAAAGGGTCCAAAATTAAACTTAGTTTGATTTCAACAAAAATTGAATATATGGGGTTCTTTGATATGCTGAATCTAACCATGTATTTAGATTTTTGATTATGGGCCCAGTTTTCAAGTTGGTCCAAATCGGGGTCTAAAATTAAACTTTGTTTGATTTCAACAAAAATTGAATATATGGGGTTCTTTGATATGCTGAATCTAACCATGTATTTAGATTTTTGATTATGGGCCCAGTTTTCAAGTTGGTCCAAATCGGGGTCCAAAATTAAACTTTGTTTGATTTCAACAAAAATTGAATATATGGGGTTCTTTGATATGCTGAATCTAACCATGTATTTAGATTTTTGATTTTTGGGCCCTGTTATCAACTTTGTCCACATTGAGATCAAAAGGGTCCAAAATTAAACTTTGTTTGATTTCATCAAAAATTGAATATATGGGGTTCTTTGATATGCTGAATCTAACCATGTATTTAGATTTTTGATTATGGGCCCAGTTTTCAAGTTGGTCCAAATCGGGGTCCAAAATTAAACTTTGTTTGATTTCAACAAAAATTGAATATATGGGGTTCTTTGATATGCTGAATCTAACCATGTATTTAGATTTTTGATTATGGGCCCAGTTTTCAAGTTGGTCCAAATCGGGGTCCAAAATTAAACTTTGTTTGATTTCAACAAAAATTGAAGATATGGGGTTCTTTCATATACTGAATCTAACCGTGTATTAAGTTTTTGGATTTTGGGCCCCGTTTTTAAATTGGTCCACATTGAAGTCCAAAGGGTCCGAAATTTAACTTTGTTTGATTTCATCAAAATTTGAATTATTGGGGTTCTTTGATATGCCGAATCTAACCGTGTATTTAGATTCTTAATTTTTGGTTCCGTTTTCAAATTGGTCTACATAAAGGTCCAAAGGGTCCAAAATTAAACTTAGTTTGATTTTAACAAAAAGTGAATTTTTAGGGTTCTTTGATATGCTGAATCTAAACATGTATTTAGATTTTTGATTATGGGCCCAGTTTTCAAGTTGGTCCAAATCGGGGTCCAAAATTAAACTTTGTTTGATTTCAACAAAAATTGAATATATGGGGTTCTTTGATATGCTGAATCTAACCATGTATTTAGATTTTTGATTTTTGGGCCCTGTTATCATTTTTGTCCACATTGAGATCAAAAGGGTCCAAAATTAAACTTTGTTTGATTTCATCAAAAATTGAATTCTTGGGGTTCTTTGATATGCTGAATCTAACCATGTATTTAGATTTTGGATATTGGACCATAATAGGTGAATGTCCAATTTAAAATTTTTAAGTTCTTAGACCACATTCATTCTGTGTCAGAAACCTATGCTGTGTCAAATATTTAATCACAATCCAAATTCAGAGCTGTATCAAGCTTGAATGTTGTGTCCATACTTGCCCCAACTGTTCAGGGTTCGACCTCTGCGGTCGTATCAAGCTGCGCCCTGCGGAGCATTTTATTATTTTAATGCTGTATAGAGGTTTATTTTACTTTGCACTGCTTGCAATGTTTGAAAATTTTTCAATATTTGCAGTTGAAAGGTAATTTTATTTTTGCATATTTGGAGGATGCATATCAGCATTGACTTTGTGTCAAAATTTCAAAGATCTCTTTTGTATTGTATGGCCTTTAATATGTCAGAAGTTGGAAGATCTTGATAGTTCATATCAAGTATAAAAATAATGTGCATGGTCTTGAAGTTTTTATACGACCGCAAAATTTTTGCGGTCGTATATTGGTATGACGTTGTCGTCGGCGTCGTTGTCATTTGGAAGACACATTGGTTTTCGCACAAAAACTTTTGTTTAAGTGAATGGATCTCTATGAAATTTTATCATAAGGTTCAATACCACAAAAGGAAGGTTGGGATTGATTTTGTGGGTTGTGGTACCAACAGTTAAGGAATTAGGGGCCAAAAATAAGCATTTTTGTAACTTCCAGACAATAATTGTGTGTTAGTGTATGGATCTTTATGAAATTGTACTACAAGGTTCCATATCACAAAGGGAAATCTGGGTTTGAGTTTAGGGGTAATTGTCCTAAACGTTTAGGAATTTGGGGCCAAAAAGGGGCCAAAAAACAAGCATTTTTCTAGGTTCCAGACAATAACTTGTGTTTAAGTGTATGGATCTCTCTGAAATTGTACTGCAAGGTACCATACCACAAAGGGAAGGCTGGGATTGAGTTTGGGGGTGATGAATCATAAGGGGGTTCAAAAAAATTTGTGTGGGGGGGGGGGGTGGTTTTCTATTTTAAGACTTTTATGATGTATTTAAATTGGTAATTATGGTTGCAAACTCCATTGGAAATTTGAATTGAGATTATGACCATATCTTGAGGGAAAGATTTTTTTTTTGGAAAAGGGTGGGGGGGGGGGGGGGTGAAAAAAAAATTAAGAAGGGAGTAAAAACAAAATTGTGGGGGCAATTTCTTCAATTATTATCTCTTTTTGCCAAAAAAAAAGGGGGGGGGGGGTCAATACGCAACAGCATAGTGTATTTCACAAAAGCAAAAAATTGAATATAAATTCAAATCATATAACCAATTCTAAGTTCTCTGACTACAGTTATTCGGTGTCTGAAACCTATTATGTGTCAAATATTAAATTACAATCCAAATTGAGACCTTTATCAAGCGCGAATATTGTGTCCATTTTTGCCCCAATTTTCAGGGTTGGACCTTTGCGGTCGTATCCAGCTGCGCTCAGCGAAGCATTTTATTAATCAACTATGTTAGGTCTTTAGAATAATTGTAAGCTGTACATGTCAATCTGACTGGAGTCCCCAACCTTTACTTCATTTTTTTTGGTTCTTCAATAAATATGAAGTTTTTACTCTTAGATCAGTTAACATTAAATTTGAGTTAAAGCCAACTATATTTGGTCTAAATAATTATTGTAAGGTGAAAATGTCTGTCTAGCAGGTGACCTGACCATAGCCTATTGTCCACTGCTGTGATTGTGCCAAGGTGGATACAGTTATGGTGTCCATCCATCTATCTTTATGTATGTATGTCCGAAACACACCTGTTCTCAGAGACTGTTTGGCAGAAAGCTTGTATACTTGGTAGGATTATTTGTTGTCCCATTCTCATCACCATGCTATACCATAATTTTAAGTTGACCATATCGTCCGCCATATTGAAAATGCCATTTTTACCAGAGTGATGGGACTTTGACCATTTTTTGGAGTATTGTAACAATGACACCTTGTGAAACTCCGCTTGGATTGTTTGCCACTGTATGTAAATAACAATATTATATCTTTTGGACATTGACTAGAAAGACATCATGTTCTCACTATTTGTTAACAGCTACGAATGTGAAAACTCGAAATATACTTTTTAATGTAAACTCTATAATATTGGTCGTAGCAATCTTGTTTTTATACGACCGCAAAAAATTTTTGTGGTCGTATATTGGTATGACGTTGGCGTCATCGTCGTCGTCCGGCGTCGTCTTCCGAAGACACATTGGTTTTCGCACTCTAACTTTAGTTAAAGTGAATGGATCTCTATGAAATTTTACCACAAGGTTCAATACCACAAAAGGAAGGTTGGGATTGATTTTGGGGGTTATGGTACCAACAGTTAAGGAATAAGGGGCCAAAAAGGGTCCAAAAATAAGCATTTTTGTAACTTCCAGACATAACTTGTGTGTTAGTGTATGGATCTCTCTGACATTGTACCACAAGGTTCCATATCACATAGGGAATGCTGGGATTGATTTTGGGGGTAATTGCCTCAAAATTTTAGGAATTAGGGGCCAAAAAAGGGGTAAAAAAACAAGCATTTTTCTAGTTTCATGACAATTACTTGTGTGTAAGTGTATGGATCTTTCTGAAATTGTACTACAAGGTTCCATATCACAAAGGGAAAGCTGGAATTGAGTTTGGGGGTAATTGCCCATAAAGTTTAGGAATAAGGGACCAAAAAGAGGCCAAAAATAAGCATATTTCTAGTTTCCAGACAATAACTTTTTTTTATATAAAAGCAAATAATAATGATATGGTTTGAATAGGAAAATTAAAAATTTTTAAGTTCTTAGACCACATTCATTCTGTGTCAGAAACCTATGCTGTGTCAAATATTAATCACAATCCAAATTCAGTGCTGTATCAAGCTTGAATGTTGTGTCCATACTTGCCCCAACTGTTCAGGGTTCGACCTGCGGTCATATCAAGCTGTGCCCAGCGGAGCATTTTATTAAAGTTGTTTTGTCAATGTTCAGTTTTCCTGATACATGTAGTAATATTTTCTTTTTAATCAATTTTAATTTATTTAGCAGACAAGACTCAGAGTGTGCACAGAGCATCATATGTGCAGTGCGAAATGATTTTGTGTCAACATTGTTATACACTTGTAAACAGTATAAATGACTTCATTTTTGTCTTTCAGAGAAGAAAAAGAAAGATGGATAAGATGTAAATACGAATCTAAAGAATTTCTGCCACCAGCTCCTTATGTAGATATTCCTTTAAATCAGGTAATTATAGTTTATCTTACCTGGCTCCAAGGACCAGTATGATGTATTGCCATTACAATAAATATTTTTCGTGAACATGGACAAAAACAATAGTTTTCTCCACAGATAATAAACTGATAGATATTATATATTTCTATGTGATAAGAATTTACATAACATATTGTTGATTAATTTATTTTCGTGGATTGAGGAAAACTTAGTTTTTTCATGGATATTTAATTTTATGGATTTGCAAAAGTCTGTATACTATTCTTTAGAAAATGTGTATTTTGTGGAGTATTCAAATGTGTGGTTTACCTATTCCCACAAAATCCAGGAAAATTGGTATCCCACGAATAATAATGAATCCACAGTATATGAGTTTGTGATGTATTTGTATACTCCCAGTCTGGATGAAGGAGTATACTACTTTACCTATGTCTTTACATATTTTCATCTCATTTTTCTCAGGAACTACAAGATATCTTGCTTTATAATTACAGCAATTAATAGATGCGTTAGTACGTGAAGATATACGAAACATAATACTGGTATTAGGACATAGTCATTCAGATGATATCAACTCTCCATATAGTAAAGATGATGGAAGGACAGCACTACACATTGCTGCAGCCTTAGGAAATGTGGTGTTTGTACAATTACTTTTGTGGGTTAGTACAATAAATTGAAATTTTTTTTTCTTTGTACACGTACTGTTATAATAAAAAAATTTGAAAATCATTGCTAATATTTTATTTTTACAGCAGTAATTGTCTCTTTGAAATGTAATTTTTATTGAACATTATATTCTTAGTACTTTCACACCTTCATTTTTTGTTGATTTTTTTATAAAGTTTGTATCAAAGGCTTATTTCAGTAAGGTATTAGTCTTAAAATAGTTTCGACCAACTATTTTACACAGTTATTCCCCTTGGAAATAGAAGTGTATGGAAATTAATATTTTAAGTGATCAAATGCAAAAATTTCTTAAAAGACAATTATTTAAAAGTTAAAAAGAAATTTTTTTTTTTTAATTATTGCCCTTGGACAGAATATATATGTGCAAACTTTTCGTTGTTTCATTTCACCTGCAGATAATGATCTTGATTTTCTGTAAATCAGTGCATAATGATCACAGATTGAGTTTGCCTTTTGTTGAAGTTGTCTCTACTTTTCCCATAATTACAGCCCTTTTAATTGGATAAAATTTCATGAAAATTGTACTTGCACAGACTTTTTAGTAGTGCTTGCAGATCTGGTGATGATTTTTTGGTACATTATTCACAGGCACTTGTCTCAGAATTTTTTTTATATATACCTTAATACAACACAAGGTACTTAACTCACATTTTTGAAAAATGTCACCTGGTCGCGAAATTCCGATATATTTTGATTTCTCAGTTGTCAATTCCACTCAAACTTGTTATGCAGTAAATCTAAATTGATTTATCTACACAAAGCCTACCTTTGTTGTCAGAATCATTCGTAGCAGGCCTACCCAAGTATATCAATCATAATTATTTCGTCTACCTACACTGGATTGGAAATAAAAGACTCACAGTAAAAGGTATTTTTCCACTCTCTTTATATATCTCGGTTTCTGATTGGTCAAATTTTATGGGAAGGTCTATTGCTAAAAATAAATGTTTCTTGGAGTTATCTCATTTTATATGTAAAGTCCAGAAAGAGTCTGACTGACATTGATGGAATGGGAAAATTTGAGTCTAAAAAAAGAAACTTGTAACCCATTAGACATACCTCAAATAACACTTGTTAGATTTTTTTCACAGAATCTTTTGTGTAGATTAATCAATTTAGATTTACGGCATAACAAGTTTTAGTGGGGTTGACAATCGTGAAATCGAAATTATAACGGAATTTCGCAACCGGGTGACATTTTTAAAAAATGCGAGTTAAGTACCTTGTGTTATATTAAGGTATATAGAAGAAAAAAAATAAATTCTGAGACAAGTGCCTGTGACATTAAGGTATAATAATGATTTTCAAATCAAATATGTGTTTCTTTTCTTGTTGACAAAATGTTAACAAAATTACAGCTACTTCGAAAAACATGAAAATTGTACTTGTCAAGACTTTTTTTGTAATGTCTGCTGATCTATAGCTGGGTTTGATACAACAGTGTATAATGTTGACTTCTCGAGTTTGCATTTTGTTCCAGTGGACAGACTTTTCTTAATTTGGCTGCAGGTGTATGCATTCCTCTTGTACCAACTCATCTAGTTATTATTTAAAGGGGCACTAGCTACGAGATACATAAAAAATCTAAAATATGATTTGTTTTGTTCAATCATTAATGAAAGTGAAATTGTGAAATAGTAATTCACTTTTAGCAGCTAGTCTGGTTCAATCTTGTCAAAATAAGCTAAGAAACATTGATGATAAATTATTCACTTGCAAGTGAATAATTCGACCTCATTGAATCCGTATTCATGTGAACTTCAATTTAACCCCTTAGCTAGAGCTGGATAACGCATGAATTGTGCGTGTTAAGTTATTTAAAGGAAAATAATGTCAACATTGAAAGTGAAACAAAGGTAAATCATTTGATTGACTGATTCGATCCACAAAAAATCATTCTTATACAGGTAAAAACGATGATTAACATATATTTTTAATCTATAATATGAAATTAAACAGACCAAGAAAAATCCAATTGCACGAGTTGGCTTTCTATTTACATCTATATTTATGTTTATATCGCTTATATGACCATTGAAGGTCTTCGGAGGTCAACTTGATAGTTAATTAGATGGCATCTAGACTAAAATACACACGAAACGAAGCTTCATATTATCGAGCCCATACCCTGTAAATTGTTTAAGTTAGACTTTTTATAATTTGGATAAATGTTTTACTTTATTATAAATCAAATATGAGAATTTTAGTCAAATTGGTGAACATGAATTTGACAGCTAGTGCCCCTTTAATACACAAAATATCTTATGACAGAAAATAATATATTGTTTGATAAGTTAATTTGCTGGAGAAGAGTTCTAGAAAAAAGATGGAACATTTATTTATTATGTATACCCTCATCCCCCCCCCCCAAAAAAAAAGAAAAAAGAAAAACAAATGACAAATGAAACCATACATTGGAGAATATTGTGGGATATCTACTATTACTTTATTGCAAAACTGTGATAATAAGTCCAAGCTTTGTAGTATTACCACTGCTATGAAATTAAATGTAACTGTTATTCTAATGAGTATGATGATTGTCTTTACAGTATAGTGCCAATGTGAAAGTTGTTGATCATGAAGGTAGAAATGCATTATGGTATGCCAAGAGTTCTGGATCATCAGAATGTGTTGAACTATTAACAACAAATGGATGTCCTGAAAATCCAACACTGCCACGGAGACGAACTAGTGTTCAAGCAGGAAAAAATGATGTTTTTGAAAAATTACCTGCCAGTGTTATTTGATTTGTTATAGTGTTTGTTAGGCTTACTCAATTATAAACAATCATAAAGTGCTGTGATGGGGAATTTGTCATTTAATTATACATTAACCCTGAGACTGTCAATGTAAAAATTCTTTCTTTAAGAAATCTCATTTTTGTCTTGGAAGCGAGACATAGCAATCATATATTCTATTGTTGGAGGGTCAACATTTAGGTTAGTCTGTGGTTAAATTTTTTGTTTAAACAAATAATTGGTAAAAAATGTATACAAGCTAGTTAGCTTTATAAACATAATATTGGATGAAATATAAGATAATTTCTGTAACTTTATTGAAAATAGTTCTTAAGGAAAGGGAATAACAAATGAACTAAATGTCAAGGAATATTCTTATAAAAGTCATCTTGTATACTGATATATACAAGGAAATCTTTCTTCATTAAATTAAGGGTGTGATTACAGATGCTTTATTCGAGAGCAACACCTAGTAGGGATTTTGTGATAAATGCAACATTTTTCTACAAAACATTAATGTATAAATGTTCATTCAGGATTTTATGTTTAAATATATCACTTTCTTTGTGAAATGACTTACTGGACATGCCTAGAAATTCATTACAAAAAAATCTAAAGGTAGAAACTATACTTTCAACGGATTAAGTCTAAGAATTGGCTATTTTGTATCTAATTAGTTTAAACTTAATATCTTGGGATGAATAAAGGAATAATAATACATTTTGATTTTCAGGGTTGATGTATGATTAAATTATATAGTCCTATAGTATTATATGATTTGTCAGGGGTCAGTGCAAAATTGTGCAATTATCTATTGAAAGGTTGTATAGTTATTCATTTATTTATTATCATTAATTGCTCATAAGTTGAGATTTCATTTGTTCATTTGTGGAGAAGAACTTAGCTTGTTTCATAAAACTCTTTGTAAAATTAATCATTCAACTCTGAACGTGTTATGTGCAATTTAGTTTTGAAATTTTAACCAGCAAAACAACAATTTCTGTAATATTTTACAATAATGTGCATGTTGCATTTGTTATTAGATATTTAGATTATTATCATATGCATTGTTTAAGGTTACCGGTTATTGACAAAGAGTCTGCACTCATGTTTATATTAACACGCTATGTTTGAGTTGGGGATAAGAAACCATGGATATGTTTTGTTTTACTTTTACTGAAATTTCACTTGGAGCTTACTAATACTGTATAACAAGTCACTTGGATCTCTTGTTTCTTTAGAAATTATAGTTCTGTGAAAGTTCAAATGGTTATAAAGAATATCAGTTTAAATGGGACCAAAGCATACACAATCATACATGCTGAGTACAGCTATGTAGTCCAAAGTTAGATAAAAAGGCTAGTTGAGTCATATATATATATCAATGAGTATCAGTAATAAGATATCGGATATTAACCACAAAGGAGAAGGTATGATAAGGCCACTTTCAAGGCCCTTTGAATTCAAAAATTAAAAGAGGATTATAAATCTATCAAAAAATATCATTCAAATGTTCACAAGACATTAGTTTGCTAGATATCAATCTAATTAAAAACCTATATTGCATCGCTCCCGTTATCTGATAAGTCTTCATGCAAAATATAAGAAAACAGGAGTCATATGAGATCAGCTTTTGATTAGATTGGTCAAATATCATTATGTATATCAAATTGTGTCTTGCATGTTTGTTTTAGGCTTCAAATTTCTTCCATTTGATGCAACAAAGCAAAAACTGCAAAATGGTCCTCATTTTTAGCTCACCTGACCTATAGGCCATGTAAGCTTTTGCCATCACTAGGTGTTCGCCAACATAGTCTGCATCTTTTGTCCTAAACTTTTTTATGCCCCCGCCATAGCAGAGGGGACATTAAGTTTTACCCTTGTCGATCTGTACGTCCGTCCGTCCCAAAATTGGTTTCAGTTCTCTAACTTTAGTTTGCCTCAACGAAATGTTATAAGTCTTATACTCAATGCTTATTACCACAAAACACAGATCCAGATTGAATTTTGGTGGCGTTTCTTTTACAGTTCTAGAGTATTGCCCCTTTACAAAGGAAAAATTGCTGAATTTTTCGTTTTCCTTCTCTAACTTTAGTTTGCCTTAACCAAAAGTTATGAAACTTATACACAATGCTTATTACCACATAATTTCGATCAAGTTTGAATTTGGATGGCGTCACTTTTATCATTCTAGAGTAATGCCCCTTTACAAATGGAAAATTTGCTGAAGTTTTAGTTTCCGTTCTCTTACTTAAGTTTGCCTCAACCAAATGTTATGAAACTTATACACAATGCTTATTACCACATAACACAGATCAGGTTTGAATTTTGGTGTCGTCACTTTTACTGTTCTAGAGTTATGCCCTTTACAAATAGAAAAATTGCTGAATTTTTCGTTTTCATTCTCTTGAGTTTGCCTTAACCAAATTTTTATGAAACTTATACACAATGCTTATTACCACAAAACTCAGATCAAGTACAAATTTGGGTAGTGTCACTTTTACCGTTCTTGAGTTATGTCCCTTTATAACGTTATATGCAAGCGAGGGCATCATCTGTGTCCATGGGACACATTCCCCATTTATTTAAAAAATCTATTAAAATATTACCAAACTTTGCTTGAATGTTGCTTATAGTATCTAGTTTAAAAGTTGTATCTGGGGATTTCATCTATCAATAAACATGGCCGCTGTTTCTAAAAATATAACATGTGGTAAAATACAATTTTTGGCTCACATCTCAAAAACTAAAGCAGTTAGAACTAAACTTACTGGATAAAAATGAACAGCACGTCATAGTCTTATCTTCATTCAAATTTTCAGAAAAATCCAATAACCAATTTTGCAGTTATTGCCCTTGAAATGTCATTTTTTTTTATTTCACAGTTTTTGGTATATAGCTTAAAAACTAAAACAGCAAGAGCAAAATTGTTAGAGTATAATCAATGTCTATCTCCTGTGTTTTAGTTTCAGAAAAAATAGGATAATTGAATTTGGAGTAATTGCCCCTGAAATGAGTATTTTTGGCAAATTTTGATGTTTTTGGTTATTATCTTGAAACTTTAATAGAAATAAATTTTAAACAATAAAAATTACCTGAACGATAAGATCTACAAAAAGTCAGCATAGGAGAAATCACCAATTGATGCCTTATAGGAGTTATTGACCTTGAAAGACAGTTTTTACCCACAGTAGATAGAGAGAAACTATGAATAACAAAAAGTTCAACACAATAAGATCTACAAGTAGATCAACATGGCTGAAATTGTTAATTGACTCCTTATAGGAGTTATTTCTACTGAATGATGATTTTTACCCATTTTTTGCATTTTTGTCCAAATATTAAAAGAAAATCGAGAGAAACTTGAAAAAGCTAAATAAAATCTATAAAAAAGTCAATGTGGCCAAATTGATAGTTTGTATAAAGAATGTATTTTCCTTAAATAACCATTTTTTGTTATTTTTTTCCAATTATCTTCAAAACTTTAATAGATAGATCACCAATACAATATGTGCAAAAATATCAGTAAATAAGATTTACAAATAAGAAAAACAACTGATTGCAGTAAAGGTAAAAATGAATATCAAAATGACATATTTTTACCAGGTGAGCAATACAGGTCCTTGGGAGCCTCTTTTTTTTATCTTGATGTTTTGACATGAGCTATTAAGACCTTACCCAAAATTAATTTTGCTTCAAGATGTCTAATTCTAATGTGTATGCATGATTTTGAAAGGATAGAAAAAATTCCTGTTTTTTGCAAATTCAGGGGCCAAATTGTGGCTCTTATTAAATATTCTCTTTTATTGCTGAATCACTTTCGAAAATAACATTAAATTTGTAAAACATAAACAAAATAGTCAAGTTACATTAGAATGCATTTAGAAGAAAGACACCTTTAGAAAAAGACTAGATCTGACAAATCATATAAATATATAATATTAACAGTTTTACTGCATATCTTTAATGTGATTTTATCTAATTTTTATACGACCGCAAAAATTAAAAATTTTTTGGTCGTATATTGGTATGACGTTGGCGTCGTCGTCGTCCGAAGACACATTGGTTTTCGCACTCTAACTTTAGTTTAAGTGAATGGATCTCCATGAAATTTTACCATAAGGTTCAATACCATGAAAGGAAGGTTGGGATTGATTTTTGGGGGTTATGGTACCAACAGTTAAGGAATTAGGGTCCAAAAAGGGGCCAAAAATAAGCATATTTGTAACTTCCAGACAATAACTTGTGTGTAAGTGTATGGATCTCTCTGACATTGTACCACAAGGTTCCATATCACAAAGGGAAGGCTGTAATTGATTTTGGGGGTAATTGCCTCAAAATTTTAGGAATTAGGGGCCAAAAAAGGGGCAAAAAACAAGCATTTTTCTAGTTTCATGACAATAACTTGTGTGTAAGTGTTTGGATATTTCTGAAATTGTACTACAAGGTTCCATATCACAAAGGGAAAGCTGGAATTGAGTTTGGGGGTAATTGCCCGAAACGTTTAGGAATTGGGGGCCAAAAATAAGCATTTTTCTAGTTTCCAGACAATAACTTGTGTTCAAGTGTATGGATCTCTCTGAAATTGTACTGCAAGGTACCATACCACAAAGGGAAGGCTTGGATTGAGTTTAGGGGTGATGAATCATAAGGGGGTTCAAAAAATTTGGGGGGGGATTTTTTTTTTTTTTTTTTTTTTTTCTTTTTTTCCTTTTTTTTTCCTTTTAAAATTTTCCATTTTAAGTTGGTTATTTCTGATTTATATTTAAAAGCAAATAATAATGATATGGTAGGAGATACACACCAAACAGGATGTGTAAATTATTATATAATAAGTATTGTGCAATAGCAAGAAATTTTCAATTGCACAGTATTGCACAATAGCAAGAAATCTTCAATTGCACAGTATTGCGCAATAGCAAGAAATCTTCAATTGCACAGTATTGCGCAATAGCAAGAAATATCCAATGGCACATTATTGCGCAATAGCAAGAAATTGTCAATTGTGCAGTATTGCGCAATAGCAAGAAATATTCAATTGCACAGTATTGTGCAAAAGAAGATACTTCGTATAAATTGCTTATTTCTTGATCAATTTCAATGGGGTTTTATTCTTGAATTCTTGGGGTTCTTTAATATGCTGAATCTAACCGTGTATTAAGTTTTTGTATTTTGGGCCCCGTTTTTAAATTGGTCCACATTGAGGTCCAAAGGGTCCAAAATTTAACTTTGTTTGATTTCATCAAAAATTGAATTGTTGGGGTTCTTTGATATGCCGAATCTAACCGTGTATTTAGATTCTTAATTTTTGGTTCCGTTTTCAAATTGGTCTACATTAAGGTCCAAAGGGTCCAAAATTAAACTTAGTTTGATTTTAACAAAAATTGAATTTTTAGGGTTCTTTGATATGCTGAATCTAAACATGTATTTAGATTTTTGATTATGGGCCCAGTTTTCAAGTTGGTCCAAATCTGGGTCCAAAATTAAACTTTGTTTGATTTCAACAAAAATTGAATATGTGGGGTTCTTTGATATGCTGAATCTAACCATGTATTTAGATTTTTGATTTATGGGCCCTGTTATCATTTTTTTCCACATTGAGGTCAAAAGGGTCCAAAATTAAACTTTGTTTGATTTCATCAAAAATTGAATTCTTGGGATTCTTTGATATGCTGAATCTAACCATGTATTTAGATTTTGGATATTGGACCATAATAGGTGAATGTCCAATTTAAAATTTTTAAGTTCTTAGACCACATTCATTCTGTGTCAGAAACCTATGCTGTGTCAAATATTTAATCACAATCCAAATTCAGAGCTGTATCAAGCTTGAATGTTGTGTCCATACTTGCCCCAACTGTTCAGGGTTCGACCTCTGCGGTCGTATCAAGCTGCGCCCTGCGGAGCATTTTATTTATATTTATTAAGATCAATATTTATTTTGATAGTTGTACTAAGTCGAGAATTTTAACCAAGTTGATGATTTTTTTTTTTTTTTACATAATCTGGAAAAGTCCTGAGTTCTTTTCAGTGAATAACTTAGTACCTTTTACATTTTGCAGTTATGCTATGATATATTTATATATATGTCACTGACACAATTTATGTTCATTTAAGGCATCTTGGTGTACTTAAATAAAAAGACAAATTTTAATTAAAAACTTTGGCTGAAGATACTTATGCTTTAAACAATTGGATTTCTTACTTACAGATATTGCTGCTTAAGACTTTAGAAGTAATTATAAAAAAAAAACTGAAATAGTTTAATATAATGTAGTTGCATAAGGCTAATGCCTTGTATATTCCATCAAAATATAAATTCTGTAGTCTAGAAAAAAAATCAAACTTTATAAAATGCCATGTCCAATGCAAAGTTACACAATTTAAGTGATATTTGCATATTTGGAAAAACTAGTTAACCCTTTCATAACTTCTTGTCAGACTATATTAGGTTTAGTAACAAGGACATTTATAAATACTAAGAAACGATTAAAGAATTATTAATCATGAAAAGAAAAGGTATATCAGAAATCATATAAATTACACCTAGAATTTGTTATATAGAATAAGTGGAAAGAAAGATTTTTTATATTTTTATGACTTATCAATATACATTTTTTATTATGGAGATTTTATCAAATATTACAGATAAGTAGATAGATAAAGGAATCTTTAAAAAAAATTCATTGTAGCAAAATGGAAAGTGTTTATAAAGCCTTTTTAAATGATTATGACAAAAGTGCATGATCTTCAAAATGTATCAAGACCCAATGATATACGAGACAGATGTAATGATTGGAAATGTTTCCATTATTATTTTTCAAAAACCACTCATCATTCAACTCAAAGTAAAATGTATTGATCTTATGGTCATAAACTCCTACCAACAAAATGGCCATTTATGAATATTACATATATACACATTACGTGGTGTTATTCATCCAGGTAAACTATACAATGTTAGCCAAGGGTTCAGAAAAAACATGTTTTTGCTAATCAAGATCTAGAATATGCCAAAATGTTTGTTATACATGTAGACATCATCATATCAATTAATAACAGAACTAACATTTTATCTCACCTGGCCTAATGGGCCACATTAGCTATTTTCATCACTTTCCATTTGTCATCCGTAATTTTCTTTAAAAATCTTCTCCTGAAACCCCTCAATAAATTGGAACCAAAGTTCATCTACTTCAGCTGTAGGATGTCTACTTTGAAGTTTGTGATTTTATTCCAGGTTGATAACCAACATGGCCACTGTAGCTAAAAATAGAATGAAGGGGTCAAACTACAGTTTTTTGCTAATATCTAAAAACTATAATAGCAAATAAAGAAAAACTGATAGTAGTATTAAAATGGTCTGCACCAAAATTCTATCAATTATAACAAATTGCAGTTTGATCAGAATTTTAAATGAACTGCAATAGGTGGAGAGCAACACTGATTATTAAGCCACATTAAGATAAATTCTTGGACAAAATATACAATTAGTTTAAACAAATTTTATTGTTCAAACTGACAAATAGATCAGACAGCTTAGTAATGTCTTCTTCAAATATACAATTTACTCATACACTCTTACATTACTTTTTTCCTATCATATTTTGTTATTGAATTTTTTGTTTTGCCAGGAGAATAATTGCAGACAAAAAACCTGCAAAAAACACCTCTACACAAATCACTGCTTTGTTTATAACCTTCAATGGTGGTAGCAGAAGTGCTTTGGTTTAGTGCTTTTCCTAAAAGGTCAAAAATTGAATATTTCAATATAAGATAGAAATACAGCTTGATCTGTACTAACATTGTAAACAAAACAGATTTAATAATGTCCCAATGAAATTTATTACCGTAACATATGAAATCCAGAAATGTTTGTCTATATAATATAATCTATCTGTATTTATATATACTATTATTCTATTTTGAAGAGAAATAAGTTGACATATTGAATATTTTCATATTCTGTTTGTTTATTATATTAAAAGTGAAGTCTTCGGTTGTTTATACATACATACTTTAATAATGTACCTTTTTAATCATGATTATACATATTGATGGAAATAATGTAGCAGGAATCTTAAAGGAAGTGAATGCCCTAACTATTTTTAGTGAGTGATATCTGTTTTAATAATGTATCTTATAATTGAAAAATTTTAATTACTGTGAGTTTACAATACCAACAGGTTGATATGAAGCAATATTTAAAGGTTGAACATTTATAATTATTTCATTCTGGTTACAATGAAGAGATTTCCATATCTCTTAAAAGTGGAGATAATCTAGTTTTTGTCATAATCTGATTTCATTCTCATGCCTCAGCAATTTTTGTTTTGAAGGTTGTATACATCTCTGTTCATATAAATGTGCAAATGAAGTTTAAATGTAAGTGTGGAATGAGCATCAGCATATAATGTTCTGTCTGTGAAAGTAAATGTGTGAAAGTTTGTGATGTTTTAGTAGCATGCATACATATGAGCAGCCTGGATATCCTTTTAAATTAATTGTATAAACAATAAAAAAATTTAAAACAACAAGCAGTTTCTGTAATGTTAAATAAAACAAAGTAAACTTAAGTGTTAGTGATGCTTTTCATCAGTGGTTTTCCCTGTAGAAAAAAAAGGTCTTATTTATTATACCCCTGCTCCATAGGAGTGGGATATACTGTTTTACCCTTGTCCGTCTGCCTATTTGTCAGTCTGTCTCATGAAATTTTATATCACATCTTTCTCAGGAACAACAAATTAGAGCTTTCTGAAATTTGGTATCTGACTTTATGTGGGCATGCTTTACTGTGTGATGGGTTTTCAGATTCATTACTCGTAAACTTATTGTTTACCGAATAATATTGAGATATTCTAACACATGGCCATGTTTGAAATTTTTGTTGCATTTTTCAAGGGAACAAAATACATGTATCAGAGCTTCCTAAAATTTGTTAAAAGGTTTCATATGAACATGATACAGAGTGGCATGTGTTTCACATTCATACCTTATCAACTGTCTGATTCATTCTTATCCTTAATGACCATGTATGAAATTTTTGTTACATTTTTCTCAGGATCTGCAAGAGAGGGACGAAAGATACCAGAGGGACAGTCAAACTCATAGATCGAAAACAAACTGACAACGCCATGGCCAAAAATAAAAAGTCAAACAGACAAATACTAGTACAGATGACACAACATAGAAAACTTACGACTAATCAACTCGAACCCCACCAAAAACTGGGGGTGATCTCAGGTGCCCCGGAAGGGTAAGCAGATCCTGCTCCACATGTGTCACCCGTCGTGTTGCTTATGTTATTACAAATCCGGTAAATAGTCTTAATTCAGTAGGTCATATTCGTGAAAAAGGGAAGGGTATTGTAGTTACGACATAAGGAACATATCCGATATCATCAGTGAAACGGTTATTCCATAACGGTCAACCAACTTGTGATGGCGTCCGTAAAATTTACGAAGGGATGATTTCAACTTCACCATTTGGAACTCTTGGTTTAATAGCTTCCTTGTGAGCAGCAATCATCTATCAAGGAAATCATGATAGGACATTCAAGCCCGGGAATAATCAGAGCAACCTGATATTTGGTATCAACATTTATCTTTCACTGCTCTTTAACTTCCTGTTTACCAAATACCTAAAGGGGGAGTATCTGATTAGGAAAAGCTAACAGTTCAGTCTGCAGCAAAACATGATTGTGTTATGTGAACTTAACCTACCTGCTTATCAGGAACTATGTTGCACATCTGGGAGCTTAAGTCAATATATCATAATCACAGTAATTAGAAAAAAAATACAGTATTTACTGCCCAAGTTGACAAATGAATCATGTGTGGAGAACATATACAATAATTTGACATACAGGTGGAAATTAATTTTTGAGAATTTTGTATTCACTGCATATAAAAAGGCTGCAAAGCACTAGCAGTCTTTGGTGTATAAAGCTTGTGGAATAAGATGACACTCATCATACATATTCACAATATTTCTGAAAATTATGATGACAGTAACTCAGTTAACTCGGTAAAACCTGCCAACTTCCTCAATTATGGTGATCTCCCATGAGTGATGTTGAACAACACTTGAAATCCAAAATTATATAAAGGATAAAATATCTTAAAAAAAGGCACAATATAGTCATTCAAAACTATTGAATATTAGATTAAAAATACTTTTGACATGAATAAGAGACATTAAGGTTCCCCTTGTGCTTATAAAAATCCTATTAACTCCACCTGCTTGGCCGCCACATAGTGATCTCCCAAGGATTTTTTTTATAGTGCTGTGGTAAGTGTGCAATATTAAACTGATTCACCTTTTGGTCTGAGGACTTTGATTTTCGTTGTCTACAAATATAGTCCCTAGTGTGGACAGTATATAACTTGCAAATTTTTTTCATACACTTTCCAAATTTATTTCTTTATATTTAATGCATGAAATATTAAGTAGGGGGATGAAATTACATTTAAAAAAAATTTGGGTGATGAATTTTTATGTAAAGTAGTGATTTGGTCAAGTTAAAAAAGGTCACAAATTAGTATGTCTGAAGCTGTCAAACTGAATTATAGACCCTCTTAACATAGAATTGTCCATATTTTGAGTTAGAGCTGGTAGATTTCTATAATTTTGATATTATTTGTCCCAAAAGTAGTACACTACACTGTAAAAATCTTTTTGAAATATTTTTGTAAATAATTTGATTACACCCTCCCATTTTTAGCTCACCTGGCTCAAAAGGCCAGAGGTCCCTTATCTTTTACAAAAATATGCTCCTCTGAAACTACTCTGCCAAATTGAACCAAACTAAGCCTCAATTATCCTTGGGATATATAATTAAAAAATTATGGCCTATGAATCTGCTGGCCAGCCAATAAGGCCACCAAGGCTAAAAATAGAACAAAAGGGTAAAATATTTTGATATTTACAAATTGTGTTTGTTTTTATGCCCCCACTGCTGTGAAGGGAGCATTTAGTTATACCCTTGTCCGTCTGTACATCTGTTCATTGTCCATACGTCCCAAAATAAGTTTCTGTTCTCTTAAGTTTAGTTTGCCTCAACCAAATGATATAAATCTTATTACCACCAAACACAAATCAAGTTTGAATTTGGGCCGTGTCACTTTGGCTGTTCTTGAGTTATGTCCCTTTGTAAATGCAGAATTTGTCGTATATTTACAAGCGGGTGTTCCATGGAAAAAATCTTCATTTTTTGTCTGTTATTTTGATAGACAGTTAAGAAAGAAATTGTCAGTAAATTTCTTATAAGAATTCTTGCCCCTGAATGATGACTTTGTCCAAATTATTTTTTTAGGGTTAAAACTATAAAAGGGGCAGGGGTGTTTCTAGGATATTTGAAAGAGGGGGCGTAGAATACAATCTTTCGCCGATCGGAGCGAGGCGAAAAAAATTTTGGACCTTTTTTTGGCTAAAAAACATAAAATAATTGTGAAATGCACTAATGTAACGGATCTGACTTGGAGCATGTATATTTTATAGTTAAAGTGTCAGGGTTTGATATTTTTTATGCCGAATTCTCTCAATTAATTGTCTATGGTATATTAAAATGATTGGATGGATCTTAACAGCAGTAGACCAATAACTAGAAATTCCAAATATTAGGGTATAGGGCGTTACTTTACATTTCAATAGTCCTAGGCCAGGATTTTATGAACGGGAGGCGTAATTCCAGTTGCCCAGGTATAGGGTCCATGGGGAAGGTCAGCTCCTGGATTTCAACAATTTAGCATCAAATTATGAAGTATTATAACAGACTCCATGATAGACAAATTGGTGAAAATAGTCTGCCTTCGGATCATTCAAATTATGTATTGATTAACATGTGGATATCAAATCTTTGGAAGAAGTTGTAAATTCAGTTAAAAGGTTATATAAATTGGGCATGAAAAATGAAAAATAAATCTTTAACGATAGCTTTTTCTGAAATTTTGATATATATATATATCCATAAAATTGAGAATGGAAATGGGAAATGTGTCAAAGAGACAACAACCCGACCATAGAACAGACAACAGCAGAAGGTCACCAACAGGTCTTCAATGCAGCGAGAAATTCCCGCACCCGGAGGGGTCCTTCACCTGGCCCCTAAACAAATATATATACTAGTTCAGTGATAATGAACGCCATACTAAACTCCAAATTGTACACAAGAAACTAAAATTAAAAATAATACAAGACTAACAAAGGCTATAGGCTCCTGACTTGGGACAGGCGCAAAAATGCGGCGGGGTTAAACATGTTTATGAGATCTCAACCCTCCCCCTATACCTCTAGCCAATGTAGAAAAGTAAACGCATAACAATACGCACATTAAAATTCAGTTCAAGAGAAGTCCGAGTCTGATGTCAGAAGATGTAACCAAAGAAAATAAACAAAATGACAATAATACATAAATAACAACAGACTACTAGCAGTTAACTGACATGCCAGCTCCAGACTTCAATTAAACTGATTGAAAGATTATGTCTTCATCATATGAATATCAGGCACAATCCTTCCCGTTAGGGGTTTAGTATCATACCATCATAACATATATGAGAAGAACATAACCCGTGTCATGCCAACAACTGGGTTTTAAATAAATGTGTTTAGTGCCGATGCAAAGACCCTATAAGTGAATCAATATTAACGCCAAAATATGCAATCTTTAATGACCTGACAACAGTATCGTAACTATATCCCTTCTTAATAAGTCTGTTTAAAGGTTTTGTTAGCTTCAGAGGTGAATACTGACATTTTTGTGCTTTATAAAGAATATTTCCATAAAAAATTGGATGTGAAATACCTGAACGTATAAGAAGTCTGCATGTTGAGCTATATTTACGAATGATGTCCTTATACCGATGATAAAATTTAGTAAATGTTTTGACTAGTTTGTGATATCGAAAACCCTGATGTAATAATTTTTCAGTAATACATAAATTTCTCTCGTTAAAATCTAAAACATTGTTATATACACGAGCGAATCGTACAAGTTGAGATATATAAACACCGTAAGATGGTGACAAGGGAACGTCACCATCTAAAAATGGATAATTAACGATAGGAAATGAAAAATCATCTCTTTTATCATATATTTTAGTATTAAGCTTTCCGTTAATGATATAGATATCAAGATCGAGGAAAGGGCAGTGGTCATTGTTAGTATTAGCTTTATTTAAAGTAAGTTCAACAGGATAAATTTCTTTAGTATACATACTGAAGTCGTCATTATTGAGAGCCAAAATATCATCCTAATATCTAAAAGTATTATTAAATTTGTGTATCAGATGTTGTTTTGATGGGTCTTTGCTGATTTTTGTCATAAATTGTAACTCATAGCAATACAAAAAAAGGTCCGCAATAAGTGGTGCCCAGTTAGTCCCCATTAGAATTCCGATAACCTGACGATATACGGAATCTTCAAAGCGAACAAAAATGTTATCTAGTAAAAATTCAAGGGCATATATAGTATCAAAGCATGTCCAATTGACATAGTTTTTTTGTTTATTGCTACTAAAAAATGACCTAAAAGAGTTTGAACATATATATTCACATTCTGACTTTTTAAATGCCC